AATGGGAGGCAGGAAGCAGAAGAATAGATGGCATCTGCCCTGGCACCCCTGGTTTCTCTCATCATGGCCACTTTCCTGGGTTCCCTTGTCCTGTGGGTGCCTATCTTGGGTCAGGGGCTTTCTCCCCAAGTTTTTGAGGTAACCACTTAGAGGTTTGGGGGAGGAGTGGGCAGGAGAGCCAGGAGTTGGGGGGAGGGGCAGAACCATACAGGAGAGAGAGGGCGGAAGCCATCTGAGAGGAGAGAGGATTTGGAGGTGGGAAAAGGCGTTGAGATTCTTGGAGACAAGACAGGAGAGCAGCCTGTGACAGAGATGGGCGTCAACTGAGGGAAGCATGGAGAGAAGGAGCGAGACGTCACACTGGAGAGATCAGGGAGACAGAGCCTGAGAGAGAGACACAGCCCCAGGGGGAAGGAAAGAGGAATAGAGAGGGAGAGGGACTCCAAAGTCCTGGGGGATCTTGAAGGTCCCCCCTTTAGAGAAAAGGACACCAAAGCCCAGAGAGGGAGGGCGCCCGCAACACCAGGCCACACAGGACCTAGCACAGGCAGAGCTGGGTAAGTCAGTATGTATGGTCAGTCCCAGTAACACAGCTTGTCTTAGGAGGCCCCTGAATGTTGGGTTTGATGTTACTACCTTCTTCTAGGCCGCCGTGGGGGCACTAGGAGGCTTCCCTCCAGAGAGCGAGGGGTGGGCTCTAGGTTCCAGGCAGCGGGGAGAGCAATAGAAGGGTCAGTGGAGGTGGGGGAAGACATAGAGACTCACGGAGACAAGGCAGGAAACTAGCTTGTGATAGTGACACTGACCTTCAAGAAGGCCATCCGTGCCTGTGCTAGTGGCTCCAGAAGGGATAAGGCCAAGGTCTCTGGCTTCATATAATCCATTAAGGAGTTAGAAGTAATTTTGTCCAGACCCTCTCCCCTGTCCAAATGAGTGCAGAAAGGCTGATCCAGCCCCAACGCTGGCTCCAGAGGAGCCCTCACTCAGAACAGGCTCCCCTTTCTTGGTATCTGAGGTGAAAGATTAGTGTGTGGGAGTGGCACTGTCTGTAGTGCTGAGTGGACCTACCTCCAACAATACAGCTGCAGGTAGGGAGCTGGGGAAAGTAGAAAGGCTCCATCCACCCATCCATCCATCCATCCACCCACTCCATCCATCCATCCATCCATCCATCCATCCATTCATCCATTCACATATCCATCCACCCATCCTCACTGAATTAAAACACAAAATCATAGAACTATGTGTTGCAAGCTGGAAGGACCCATTTTTAATAATGAGGAAACTGAGACTCAGAAGAGGAAGGGGCCTACCAAGGCCACACAGAGCTTCCATAGTCAGTCCGGGACAGGACTGGAAATCGCTGCTCTTTTCTACACACCACAGATTCTCCTCTGGAGTCTGGGATTGCTGGTTGTTTTGCTGGTATTTATACTGATGGCTGTTCAGAATAGCTGCAAAAGCAGGAAACGTGACCTCTTTCGCCTCACCCTGAGCCTGGCTGTGTGTGTGAGTGTGTTTGCATGTGCGTGTGTGTACGTGCCTAAGTGCATATTTATGTGTGCATTGTATATAGGGTTGCGTTTTTATCCGTGTGTGTGCGTGTTTGTGTGAGGGTGTGTGCATGGCAGTATGTATATGTATGACATGTGTAGACGTTCGTGAGAACAGGTTTGGCTCTGTTTGTACTTTTCCTTTCCTCATCTTTTTAAGATTTCTGGGGTTTTAACCTCTGACTTGAGCTTTGTTAGTCCCCACCTGGGCCTCCAAATTGGGAATTTCCCTACTTCCCATTCTCAGCTGCTCCCCATTGATTCTCCTTTCACTGGGGCAGCCGCTCTGTCCTCTGAGCCCCGCCCCCCCGTGGACTTTGGAATTTGAGCTATTTCCTCCCTGAGTTGATGCAGGAGGTGAAGTTGCTTTGAGATCAGGGAAGATTCAAGGAGAAGGTGGCATGTGAGCGAGTCTTAAAGGCCAGGTATGAAGTGGCCTTTCCCAGCTGTGGTTCCTGCACTCAACACCCCCCATCCTGGGGCAGGCAGGGCAGGGCCAGGAGGTGGGTGGACAGAAGGATGCCAGGCAGAGAGCTCCGGGCTTCATGGGCCATGTCTGCATCCAGCCCACTCAGGACCCCTCCCCGCTGCTGCCCCAACTCTCCCAAAGTTTCCTTTCCCATTCCCCCCCCTCACTGCCATTATCCTGCCCTCTGCCTTAGGAGTCACAGAAAACTGACCAATCCAAGCAAAGGCCAGACAGGCACCCACCAATTCCAGTAAAGGACAATTCAGGGCATTCCCCAATCCAAGTAAAGGGCAGGTCGAGGAGCCACCAATCAGAACAAAGGACAAACTATTCTCTCTAAGCCCCCTGAGGAGGGAGCTGGGGGTCGGTGCAGAGCAGAAGCAAGAGAGAGGCTGGAGATCCAGAGTCATGGGTTCTGGACCTGGCTCTGCCCTGACTGGCTGGCTGACCACAGATGGGGCATTGCTTCTTTTTGAGCCTCAGTTTCTTCATCTGTCAAATGGGGACACTTAGCTGTACCAAGTCTATGGCTTTGAGAAATGTCTCCCCCTACATGAGAGCTTACTCCATCACCTTGGCCCCTCTTCTCCAACTTCCACACTATACACATAAACTCCACTGGAGGGCAGGGTCCCTCAGGGCTTAGCTTGTCCATCCCCACTGTCTCCAGGCAGGAACAGACCTAAACCAGCACCGCCTCTGGAGCCAAGCCCTGGGAACCCCAGTCTGAGGAACCTGGGTTGACAGATTTTAGTTGGGGATTATTTGGGGCATCAGCTCTTCCTCCCTGCTTTAGTCTGCAGAATTGACCTCGAAAGGCCACAATAGCCCATGTGTATACTGTGCGTGCAGGTGTTGCTGAGTCCTGGCCTTGTGACTCCATAAGGAAGTAGCTGCACCTGTGTGAACCTGTACGTGTACCTGGAGGGTGTCTGAAGGCAGGCTGGGGTATTTCTGAGAGGACGTGAAGGTTTGTGGCTGTGTGGCTGGGTATGTGTGGTGCTGAGGGTGTGTGAACTGTGATGAGGAGTGCCTAAGGGTCAAAGGAGAATTGATCCAATTTGGGGATTGTATTGTTTGGAATGCGCAACTTCTGATGTCCTAGGATGGAGACACATCTTCATGACCAAAATGTATCCTCACTTGAGCAGTGAGGGGGATAAAAGAGGAGTTGGGGGCTCGAGAAAGCAATGCCAAGTGAGCATTTGGGGGAGACAGCCCATTACTGCCCCCCATCCTGCAACACAGGACTGGGTGGGAGTGGGAGGTGGGGTAGGGGAGGAAATTGAAGCCAAGAAGATGCAAGGTGAAATCTGGAGCTGAAGCTTGGACCCTAGGCTTCATCTGGACCCCAGTGCAGGACTCCCCTCTGTAGCCACTCTGAAAAATGGGCATCTAGCCATTTTTGCATACCCCCAGGTATGGGGAGCTCACTTCCTCTCTCCTGGTGGCCTCTGCCTGTGCAGCGTGGCTCTGCCTAGAAGAAGTTCTTTCATCCCACTGGGCCAAGGCCAGCCTCCTGTGAAATCCTATGGGTCTCCAGGCTGTCTCCAGGACCTTAGAGTCCAGTCCCCCTGCCCAGGAAAGCCTGAGATATTGGAGTCAAATACTGAGACCCCTGGGTTCTGCTCTGCTGCAGGCTAGGCACCCCTAGACTCTCCAAGCTTAGTGACATGCAGGACTTGATTTCCAGTTCCCTCCTTACATGGGTCACCTCCCCTGAATGAGTCTCATCTTGTCCTTACCTGGGACACAATGCACTGGGGATGATTGAATCAGTGAAGTAAGTCTCATCTTCTCTGTTTAGGTTAATGGATCTTTATTAATACGGCCTGCAGTTTCAGCATTTTAATGTATTACCAGCCACATTTACACTACGGGCTCATGCTGAGCCTGTGGTCCACTAAGACCCTCAATCTCATATCACTTTCACAAGAACGGGGCCACGCCATGTGTCCTGCATCCTACAGTTAATCACTTTGCTTTATGAACTCAGCCATCCACAAGGAAGCCATCAGAAAGAACTTCCAGGGGCTAGTGGGGAAGGCATAGCTGAGTGGATGGTATGAGTCACAATTCTGCCTTGGCCCTGGATCCTCTGTTCCATTACCTTTCTCTTTGATCCCCATGGTTCTGGCCAAGTTAATAGAGCGAGAAGCAGGGACCTTTCTTGTCTCTGTTCTGGCTCTCCAAGGACGGGGACTGTTCCTGGGACGGGAAGGCTGTGAGGCAGTCAAGGCTGATCTCTCCTCCTCCTATCTTGCCAGGGGCTGGCCCGTGTTTCTCGCATCTTGTGGGCTCATGCACCCCTTGGATTCTTGCTACTCCCAGCCCCTCACTAGGCTGACAAACGAGACTGTGTGAACCACCTCCCTCCTCAGGAAACTGAGGGGGACTCAGATTCAGCAAATGTTTAGCTGAGCACCTATGTGTGTGGGCACCCTGTGAGGCACTTCTAGGACTCAGTTTCATTTTATCTTCACATTAGCCTGTAGGGGGAGATAGCCTCAGTTGCCCCCAATTTACAGATAGAAGACTGAGGCTCAGTGACTTGACCAAGATGCCCACTGCTAATAAATAGTGGAGCTAGGATTCAAATGTGGGGTTTTTTGTTTGCTCGTTTTGCTTTGTATTAATGTGGAAGCTTGTACTTTCCCTGCTTTCCTGAGTTGTCCTTGTCTGAAGGACAAGAGACCTGGGGTCTAGTCTAGACTTGACCTCTTGACTCACTGTGAGTTCTTTGCTAAGTCCCTGGCCCTTCTCTGAGCCCCAGTCTCCCCATCTGTAAGATGAGGGGACTTGGACATTCTAGGGCCTTAAGACTGGTTGGATTCTGAGATCCTAAGATCCTGGGATTCAAGTGTCTGTGAGCCTTGGGCTCTGGTTTAAGCTGGGAATTTGTGTTCCCAGCCACCTGGGTAGGGGGGTTGCCCTGGCCTGCCTGGAAAAGGCCCTCACTGCCCTTTCCTCTCTTTCAGGATGCTTTGCTGAGCCTGGGCTCCGTCATCGACATTGCAGGCTTGCAATGGGCTGTCAAAGAGGCCCTGTCAGCTGTGCTGCCCAGAGTGGTAGGTACCTTGTCCCACGCTTCCCCTGCCCCCCTAAACCTTTGTCCAGCTCCTTGCTGTACCTACAGGGTTGAGAAGGAAAGAAGAAGCAGGGCCCCCCCTCCCCCTGTGAAGGGTTTGGGTGAGTGTTCTGAGAGGGCTTCCTGGAGGAGGAGGACTGAAGCTAAGCCCCCAAAATGAACTTATATAGGAATCCTGGAATGTCTGGGACAAAAAGAGCTTTAGAGCTTAATTGGAAAGATCATGTCTCAGATAATGGAATGGATTCACCTAGGATAATAGCTAGGACATAGTGGAGTCAGGTGGGCTTTGGAATATGTACAGCAGGAAGGATTGAAAGTAGACATGCAGAACTTCCTTGATGCCAGGTCTGGGAGGTGCTGAAATGGGGCTCAGCCTAGATGAATGGATCTGTGCCAAGTTAAAGTGTCCTGTCTGGAGTCAGGAGGCTGGACAGGGTGTCTTCTAGAAACCTTTAAGCTTCTCTCTGACCCGTCCCAACACCACAGATGAGGTTGCAGACTGGGGGAGACTGTGACCCTCTTCAACTGCCCCAGGCCACTCCCCAACCTGGCTCCAGTGGCCACTGTCCATCCCTTAGGCAGTAGCATGGATAAACTGGCCCTCAAGACCCAAAGCAGAAGTGTCTCAGCTGTGCCAGATAGAGGGAAGCAGGGACTGTCAGTCCAGGGAGGGAGGCTCTGACTTACCCTAAGGCACATGGAAGACTTCATAGAGGAGGAGATGCCTAAACTGAGTCCTCATAGCCTAGAATGTCCCCTCCCCTACTCTAGACATCACCCACCAGCAGAGCCCATTGTTTCTGAATCTGCTGGATGGATGAACCACCCGAGGCCCAGAGAGGGAGGGCACTTCCCCCAAGGTCACACAGCATGACAGGAACAAATGGGGCTTGACACCTAAGCACCCCCATCCCCTTTCCTCAGCTCTGCCTTTTCAAAACCTCCTGGAAGTTCAGAGCCCAGGAGGAGGGCTAATGAGTGAGCTTTATTGATTGTGAAATTGGTAGGAAGTGGGTGGTATGTTGGCTCCCAAAATAAATCCTCCCAGAGATGGGACTGAGGCAACATCTGGCCTGGGGTGGAGAAACATCTGGAAAAGAGGAGGTGGGGAGGATGGCAGGTCAGCGTCCGCGAGGCTGCGCTGGGAGTGGGGAGGAGGATGTGACTGGCCTAGTCTTCACAGGCAGGATGCCTGGTGGTTGTGCCAGCATAGACGCCCTGTACTGGATTAATCGTATCCCCAAAGCTGGGGGTTGGGAAGACAGCTGTGGTCCAGGTGACTAGGTTCCTGGGACAGTGGGAAATGTCTGCCTCGGCCCACCCCGGAGACCTGTATGAGCTAGGGAAGCCCTGACTTTGCAGAGCCCTGCTGCCTTGATTGCATGGAGGGGCTCAGCCCTCCAAAAAGGGGTGGGGAGATGGGAGGTCTGCTCTACCCCTAGGGAGGGGGGAGGAGATGGGGGAGGGGTCTCCCTACCCGCCCGCACCCCCAGGGTGGGGAGCTGCTGGCACCTGGCTCCCTCATCAGCACCCATTGTGGCAGGCGCCGCAAATGCAGATGGCGCTGCTGTGTCTGAAACGGTTCCCTCCTTCTCTGCAATAAACTCAGCTAATTTTAACCCAGAGGGCTGTGAGGGAGGGAGTGGGAGGCTCCTTCCTGCCTCCCCACCCTCAGGTTGCCCACCGCTCTCTCTGCCAGGGCAGGACTCTCTGTGTGACCCTGGGTGCTGGGTAGTGTCTTAACCTCTTTGGGAGGCCAAATCCCTCAGGCCCCTCCCAGGCTGCTTAAAGAAGAAGGAGGCTGGAGACAGATGAGGCTTGGGTGGCTTCCTTCCCACTGATTTCTTCATCCCTGAGCTCCTCAGCTATACCCTCACCCAGGAGGACAGAGGGGCTCCAGGTCTTCCTGTGTCTGCCCTTCTCACTCTCCTCAGGCCCTATCATTTCCGGCCCACGCCACCACTAAGCTTGGCTCAGATTCTCTTGAAGTGAGACTGGGATATCTCCTGGGGGTTGGGAGAGGGTGAGGGGCTGGCTGGGGACAGCCACAGGCAACAAGAGTGTCTGACCGGATTGTGGACTGTCACAGTGGTGAAAGGCAACTGCTTCTGCTGAGAAAGATTCCACACTTACTGAGGGTGGGCCTTTAACATTTAGCTGCAATGTCACCTCCTCCAGAAGCCCTCCCTGATACAGTTAGCAGAGAGGAGAGCTCTCCATTCTCCCACTGAGAAAACAACACCTCTCAGCATACTTAGCTGGGCACAGGGGTGCCCCCTCGATGGGGTGTAGGCTCTGCTGAGCCTCTGCATCTCCCTTATCACCTGCAATGCGGGCAGTGGAGACGCTCTGCAGGTTGTGTTGGTTGTGGGTACCTAAGTGTAGCCAGTCCTGCTTGGAGGGAATGTGGATTTTCTCCTGTGGATCAGTGAGGGCAAGTGCTTCTGCCAGGACATGGTCTGGAACTGAAGGCAGGACTGCTCTGGGCCCTTGGGGAGGGTGGATTGACAAGCTGCAGACTTGACATTCTTCGACCAGAGCTTTGATCTCACTCTGGGGAGTGATCATTCCAAAATACAAATCAGCTCCTGTCTCACAGGGGTCACCAGCCCCTCCTCCCCAGCAGCAGACCCTCCCCCTAACACCCTCCCCTAGCTCCCTTCCAGCTCAGCACTGGGCTGACCCCAAGCCCACCTCCGGTGCCCCCTGCCCCCACCATCAGGTCTGTCAATGCTTTGGGCCCTTTACACTTACATACCTATTCCTCGGCCCAGAAGCCATTCTTCTGTGCCTCACCCACTCCCTGAATGTGTCTAATTCCCACTCCAGTTACAACTTTAAAGTCACTCCCTCCAGGAAGTCCTCCTGGCTTGGGTCATAGTTTGTGATTTCTTGTAGAGTTGTTTGTGTATCTGAGGTAGGAGGGAAGCTTCCAGGGTGTTCTGAGCCTCTCCTGCAGTACGGCCCTGAGAGGACACTCAGTTATTGTTTGCTGAGGCTGGAGACTTGGCAGGGAGATATCTCAGGACTGTGGGGTTGGGGCGATTTGTCTGTACCTTCAGCCCTTCAGACCCTCCCCAGCGCCTTGGATGTGGAGTGATAGGTAAGGAAAGCCGGCAGGGTGATGGGTCACTGCCTGCCCAGAACCCCTCCAAGAGGAGAGAGTGAGGTGCTGAGGTCATAAGGGAGCCTTCCTACCCTGACCGCACTTAGGATCACCTGGGGAGTAAAGACAGACAAACAGATGCCCGTGACCTTGTCATCCAGACCCGTGTCAGGCTGGGACTGGGCAGCTGGGAGGGCTTCTCCTCAGGATCTCATGAGTGCCTTCTGTCCTAGGAGACTGTCTACACCTACCTGCTGGATGGGGAATCCCGGCTGGTGTGTGAGGAGCCCCCCCATGAGCTGCCCCAGGAGGGGAGAGTACGGTGAGCTGTTCTCCACCCATTGCCCTCTCACACAGTCAAGGGTGACCACAAGGTCTGGTCTGACCCTCCCCATCTGACCTTGACCTCAGCTTCCCTGCCAGGTGGGGTTCCAGTGGCCGGGTCCACTGTCTTTTCTTGTGTTGTGTTGGGGGAGTGGATGGCACAAGGAAAGCGCCAAGTGGTAGGCTTTCTCCTGGAGAGCTGTTCTAAATCGCTGTAGCCTCCTCAGAGCAAGTCTCAGAAGATTGGGGCTACAGTTTATCAGTTAGAACCCCAGCAGGCTACGAGAACTGCCTGGCAGGTTCTCACAGAATCACAGAATTCGGAATCACAGAAGGCTGGCCCCACATGGTGTCAACTCTGAGAATAGGGAGATCAGAAGCAGCGTCCCGCTGTGGGTTCTGGAGCCCAACCGCTTGGATTCAAATCCCAGCTCCCATTTACTACCTAGGGCAAGGTACTCAGCCTCCCTGTGTCCTGATTTTCTTGCTTGTAAAATGGCAATAATAATAGTACTTACCTCATAGTACTATTATGGGAGGATTCTTGTGATGATTAAATGAGTTTAACACATGTAATGCACTTAAAACTGTATCCATAATGAATGCTAAATGTCTGTTTTTATTTTCATTATGATAGAACATTGGAATCACAGACTTTAGGAACATGGGCTCAGCACCCTATGGTCCCTTGATACCTCTGAGCTTACTGAATTCAGCCTCCCTATTTTCCAGATGGGCAAACATTGTGAGACGAGTCCAATGCCACATACCTGGTGTGAGGCAGAGCCAGGTCTGGGACACGGTCTCCTGGCTCCTGGCTGTCTAGGGGACAGTGAAGGGAAGTGGAGCTTGTCCGATGAGAAAGTGTTGACGGGCAGGGGTGCTGGTCCAGAGGGGGGCAGGCCATGGAGGACATGGGCACTGCCTTCTAAGCACCGCAGGGCCATTGTGGGCCCAGAGAGCACAGGGTCAGGAGCTGAGGGCTGAGTAGACACTAGCGGGGGTGTTACCAGAAGGCAGCTCTCCACTCCAACAGGCCAAGCAGTCAGGGATGTGGCTTTTTCAGGTAGTAGCTGAGGCTGGCAAGATACTCACCTTTCACAGAGGCCATGGAAAGAATGCCAGAGGTCCTGATGCTGGGGATGCTGGTGGTCCTGAGGCCCCTCCTGGCACTCGGAACCCTGGATTCCTTGACGCTAATTCCCTCCTCTGGCGCTTCCCCATGGAAGGGGCTGGCTCCCCTCCAACAGCTCTGAGCCTTCCCACCTCCTGTTCTCCCATTCAATTCCCTCATGGGGTGGGTGGTGGGTGACACTGTCCCCTTCAGCATCTCCTGACAACTCCTCCCCTCGAGGACAGTGTGAACCAAGCCAGCCATGCCCCTCTCTGGCCTCTAGTGTCCCATCTGTAAGACAGCGGGATAGGGCTGGGAGGTCTTTGGAATCTTAAGGGAAAAAAATGCTAGAATGTTCCTTCTGAGCCTTCCCTAATTAGCCCCTAATCCTCAAGAACTTTGCTTAATATGAGTTTGCCCGATCCAGGAAGTTTCGTCAAAGCAGCCTGGGAAGCCTCTTTTGGGAGAGGGATGCAGGATCGTGGGCTCAGGAGGCAAGAGGTGAGCATCCTTCGGGGTTTGCTCTGCTCCTGAGCCTGTGATGCTCCCCGTAGGCTTTCTACTGTGAGCTGGGGACGGGATGGAGGTTGGGGGGGGTGTGCCGCCTGCGGTCCAGGCATCTCTGAGGGGGCTCAGATCCTCTGCGTCAGCAGCCCTTTCAGTATCCCCGCCCCCAGCCACCTCGGATTCAGTAAAGCCTTTGGAAAAGGTACAAAAAAAAAAAAAAAAAAAAAGCAATTGAAAGTGAATGTTCCAATGCAATTAGCCCAGAGTTGAGTGGAAATGGGGAGGCCTGCTGGGAGATTGGGCTCAGAAATCCCAGGAGGCCGAGGAGGTGAGGCAGGTGAGGGGGCAAGAGGGGTGAGGCAGTGGGACGTCCCACCAGCAAGCGTTGGGGGTGAAGGTTCAGGCCAGTCCTCTCCTCTGAAATCTGTGCTCTGCCCACCCACACACCCACCGTGTGTCTGGTGCTGAGCCCACCTCCTCGGCTCAGGCTGAGACTGAGGTTTGTGGAAGAGGCAAGAGCACTTGAATGGCAGTCAGACAGGCCTGGATTCTAGCCCGGCCCCATCCCTGCCCCACTGTATCCCCTTCCAAACCTGTTCTCTTATCTATGGAATGGAGCTAACAGTGGGCCCTGTCTATTAGCTTAATGAGATCATAGCTGCCCAGGGCTTAACCCCATGCCAGCACACAGTAGGAGCTTAATGATTGCTGACTGCTTTCCACCCCCAAGTCCCAACACATATACTCATTGGGTGACCTTGAGAAAATTACTTCCCTTCCAGAGGTGACCTCTGTGGCTCTGGCCCCATCAGGAGACCAGGCAGGAGCCCCAGGCTGAGGTGGAGCCTGAGCTCTGGCCATGCCCAGTGGAGGGGGCACTCCTCCAGGCAGCCCTGGAGGGCCGGCAGGGCTGGCAAACAGCAGCAGGTGTGAAGTAGAGGTGGATCATAAAGACAGATAAGGGCCCAGGGTGGTGTGGGGAGGCCCCATTAGCTACCCAGCCTCTCCTGCCACTGCCCCGTACCCCTCCGTGGGCTCACGGATGCCGTTTCACCCCCCCCAGTGTGTTTTAGATTCCCTGCCTCCTTGTGCTTGGTTCATGCTCTTTCCTCCCCTGCAAAGCCCTTCCCTGTACCTTTTCCATCTCTACCAGCCCATTTCCCTTCTCTGCCACGGCCCAGCCAGAGGGCTGCTAGGAGGCCTGCTCTGTAGATCCCCGGCACTAAGGAGGATCCAGTTTTCAGAAAAGGTGTCTGGGTCTTGGTAGCCTCCCTCAGGGATGGGTCTGTCCACGAGAAGAACCCTGGGCTGGGAGCTGGGACAACATGGCTGCAATCACAATCTCATGCACTCTCTCTGGGCCTCAGTCTACGCTTCTGCGTGGTGATAAGATGGGACAGTGTGATGTCTGAGGGATGGTCCCACTATGAACCCTGAGGGCTGCAAGGGGGCTTCAGGGCTGGAGGGAGAGAATCCTGGAGGGCTGCCTGGGTGAGAGGCTTCCTGGAAGGCTTCGCCTCGCTCTTCTTGCTGCCCCGATCTCCCAGCCTATTGCAGCCCCCAGCCCTGCCGCCTTCCGCTCCTCATTGGGTCTCCTGCCGTCCTAAAGCCTCTGACTATTCGCTGCTGAGCGCAGTGAAATCTGGGGCCTTTCGGGCTGCAGCGGAGATACCGCCCACACCGGCCCCAGCTGTCTGTCTCCTTCTGCTACCGTGTGGGGGGCCCAGGGCCCAACCTCGAGAAATTTCTTCCTCAGAGCTGACCTGGTCACCAATCACTGCAGAATCTGTCTGTCCCTCTGATTTGTCTCAAGGGACACAGAGAACAGTCTTTTCCCATCTCTGGAGTCTCACATTCTGGGAGAGGGAGAGGGAGCGAGAGAGGAGGGTCCGGGGTCCTGCCCTGAATCATAATTAGTCTCCAAGAGAGATGAAAGGGTGAGAGTGAGGTTGAGGCCCCCGGAGTGGGAGGCGGCTCAGTCAAGAGGAGGGGTCCCCACCTAAGAAGGGGTTCAGAGGAGTGGAAGAGGGCCTGGCACTCTTTCCAGGCCATTGACTCTACTCTCCACTAAGCAAATAGTTGTTAAAGGGACGGAACTGTCATAAAGTCCACACCCGTTCCATCTCCCCACTTTGTGCCCATCTGTCTTTATCTTCGCTGGGGCAGCCACGACCACCCAGGCACCCAGGGCTGAGTCACTAGCCTTCAGTCTGGGGAGCGGGCCCTGGGCTTTGGCTGGGCCGACCCCAGCATCAAGGTTCACCCCCCAACATCAGCCTGGCAGGGGAGGGAGCCTTCAGGAGGGGAGAGGAGGCAGAGCAGGGGCTCTGAGTTGAGGAGAAGTCATAGGGGATGTGAGCAGTAGATGACGCCCCCAGCCCCAACTGGGTGGGGGAGACACAGCCTCGGAGTCCCCTCCCCGTTCCGATATCTTTGAAACCTCTAGGGGGACAGCAGTTCTGGGAAGGGTGAGGCAGAGGAAAAGGGCTCATATAGGAGTGGGTTGAGGTGAGCATGGCCTGGTGCCAGGGTGTGGGGACTCCTGAGGATGGAGGATCCTTGGAGGCCCCAGTGCTTGGTGGAAGATCAGACCCAGTCAAGGTTGACCTGCCCCAGCCCAGCCTCTCCTCTGCTGTCCAGGGACCGCTGAGACTACGGGGCCCTCACTGAGACCCGGTTTCTGTCTCTCAGATTCTCCCTCTCCAGTGAGAGTTTTACTCAGCAGCCAGCATGATCAGCCTGAAACTGAACCTGACCTTCACCTTTTCCTGCTCAAGTCCCTCTCAGGGCTCCCACTGTCCTCAGGATCAAGCCCAGCTCCTCAGGGCCCTGGCTGTCTCCAGCCTTGTTCCCTGTTGTCTGGCCACAGCAGCCTCCTTGCTGTTGGATCATCCAGCAGACACACATTCTTTCTTTCCTCTGAGCCTTTGCCCATGCAGTTCCCTCTGCCTGCACATCCTTTCCTGTCTGCTCTGCTTGTCCTCTAGGACTCAACTCAGGCATCTCCTCCTCCAGGAAGCCTTCCCTGACCCCACTTCTGTCCTGCACCTGGGTAGGCTGGGGCCCACTCTTCCTTCCTTTCTCAGAGCCCTTGTCCCTGCACTCAAGTGTGGGTCTGTACATCATTCCCCGCACGACACCACTCCTCCTCTTCTTAGTCCTCAGTAAGGAACCTGACCCAGAAGGACTCTGGAATAAATAACCACTCTGTGGAATGACTTTAAGTAGAATGTTCCCATAAGTATTTTAGTTGAGAACACTTGCCCTGGCTCTGGTTGGGGGGAATGGATTTAAGGGACCCGACAGGAGGCAGGAGGCGAGGGGAGAGGCTGCTGCAGGTTCAGGGGAGAGGTATCTCTGTTTGAGCTGGGCAGTGGCTTGGGAATGGAGAGCAGGGGACAGTTATGAGAGATGCATGGGAGGTGACTCATCCATTGGATGGGGGAGGTGAGAAGAGGGAGGCAGCTAGGACAGTTTGTGGACAAGCCGCAGGGGACCCGGTGGATGCTTGTGCTACTTCGGGGGAAGTGGTGGAGACGATAAGTTCCAGTCGGGCCTTGGGGCCTCTGGCAACTTCAGGGACACCCAGGGCAGGCCTCCAGGAGGCCTTTGGGTATCTGGGGTCTAGAGCTTAAGAGATGGGGGGGCTGGAGAGTCATGAGGCCATGAGCACAGAGGAGTTCTGTGCAGAAGAGAAGAAAGGCTGAGGGCAATTCCTTCATCAGGGTCCCGGGAGGAGGAGGGGAGAGGCCAAGGCAGCCCACGGTCTGGGGGTGGGAAGAGAGGAGTCAAGGGTTAGTGAGATGTAGCTGCAGCGCTTACTGACCAGCAGCGCAGGGACCAGCGCCACCTTGTGGCTGCCCAGTAACCAGATTGTCCAAGGCCAAGTGACTGGGTGGGGTCCACTAGAAGGGGTTTGGCTGAAGGTCAATAAGGCCAGCCCCCTGCCTCCACGAAGCCGCAGCCTTTATCGACTTAGTCACCAGGAAATGTGGCTGCTGTTGCCTCCTGCCACCCTAGCTCCCTATTCCTTCCTAGGGTGATTGGCACAGTTGGACAGCTCAGAACTGGAGCCCAGCCCTCCAGGAGCCTAAAGGTTTAGGTGTGAGGGCTGGAAGGTGGGAGACACCACTGGTTATTGTAGGTTCTGAACCAAGGAGCCAGGAGTGAACCGGCTGGGTTCAGAATGTTGCGTGACCTTGACTGAGGCATTTAACCTCTTTGGTCCTCGATTTCTCTAGCTGCTGTGACCTCCTGATCTGGTGACTTGCAGGCTGTCCCCTTTCTTTTCCTCACTTGACCTTTGCTGGGCTACCCTGAGTGACCCCACGTGCACACACCAGAGTCCTAGGCCCCCAAGCCTCTCTTCTCTCCAGGCCAGGCAGTTCCTACAAACACAATTAAGTGGAGGCAGCATGAGGGATGAAGAACCCAGGACAATTAATCATTAGGGAGTGGCATTTGGTGAAAAATCAGGCACTTAATTAAGCAGGAAGAGCCAGAGGCGGGGATGGGGTGGGAGTGGGGGGTGGGATGTGTGGTGAGACCAGAGAGAAACTCATTCTTCTTCCTACTGCAGCCTCCCCTGTCTCAGTTCCCACCTCCCCCTGCCCCCCCATCACACCTATGCCCTTTGCCTCCTCGACATTCATGCCAGTCCCTGTTGGAGGCTCAACCCCCTCAGGTCTTTAGGAAGACTCAAGTGTACTGGTCAGGAGTATGGGCTCTGGTGCCAAATGCCTGGGTTCAAATCCTGGCTCTACCACTTACTAGCTGTGGGACCTTGGACAGGTTACTTAACCACTCAGCACCCTAGTTTCTCCACCTGAAAAATGGAAATGATGGTAATATTTAATCCACAGGATCACTGCGAATTCTGAGTTCATCTGTGTAAGTTGCTTGGACGTGCATTGCCCAGTAAACTCCTGGAGTCCCCGTCCTGTGCCAACACCAAAACGTGCTCCAAAATGCTTTCCTGAGGATACTGATGCTTAGGATTCTACTCTCTTCACGCTAGTTCTCCCTGGGGGGCTCAGAGAGGTTAGGTCACTTGCCCAAGATCACGTAGTAGCTGTGGCAGGATTTAACCCAGACAGCCTAGCTCTGAGCCTTGGCTTTACTTGCTCTGGGGGATTTGTGAGAGATCCTGAAGGTGCCTTTCCCATATCTACCAGCAGGAGGCACCAGAGGCCAGACTGTAGCTGCCTGCTTCTCTACATGGGGAGGGGAGAGTTAGGGTCCGAGACTTTTATTTTTGCCCTCCTCATATCCACCCTGCAGTGGGTCAACTTGTCCAGATCCTCTCAGATGTGCAGGGTTCAGCCCACTGTGTGTCCCCAGGCTGGGGCCTGTTCCTCTTTGATCCAGGGACTGAGAGGTAGAATCATATCCTCTTTTCAGAGAGGCTGTGATCTCCCGGAAGCGGCTGGGCTGCAATGGACTGGGCCCCTCGGACATGCCTGGGAAGCCCTTGGCCAGGCTGGTGGCTCCACTGGCTCCTGACACCCAAGGTAAGGGCTGGGAGCTGGGCAGGGGCAGGGAGGGACTGTGGCCCCTGTCCCTGTCTGCATCTCTCCGTCTCCTTCTTTCTCTTGCTCTGTGTCTCTAGCACACCTGCCATCTAATTCTCTCTCTGTTGTGCTATTAACCTCTCTGAGCCTCAATTTCCTGATCTGTAAAATGGGAACAACAGAACCTACCTTGATGGGGTGTTGCTTGTGCTGGTTGTTAGATGGGCTGTAGTTGTCATGCTCTCTCTGTCACTGTCTGTTTTTCTTTCTCTTCCTCTCCATGCCCCCTGTCCGCCATGTCTCTCTGTCTCGTGTCTCAGTTTCTCTAGGTCTCTGTCCTCTGTCTCGATGTGGAAAGTGCACAAGACTGGGAGTCAGGAGACCTGACTTGCTGTGTAATCTTGGGCAAGTCACTTCCCCTTTCTGGACCTCAGTTTCCCAATCTGTAAAATAGGGGTGCTCAGCCTTACCTGCCTCCCTCCGTCCCAAGGTTGCTGGGAGGATCACGAGAAAGTTGTCAAGTGAGGGGGTTTCCTTCTATGCAGGGGTCGTTGCTGTGGTCATTGTTTTCACTGCCTCAAGACCCATCTCTCTGTCTCTCCGGGTCTCTGGGTCTCTCTGTGTCTCTGTCCTGGCCTCTGTCTGTCTGTGTCTTTGTCTCCCTCCCTGGGTCCTGGCTCAGTATCTCTGAGCCTCACTGGCCCCGCAGGACCACCTCATTGCCCTCTCCCCCTCAGTGCTGGTCATACCGCTGGTGGACAAGGAGGCCGGGGCTGTGGCAGCAGTCATCTTGGTAAGAGCAGTTGTGGGTAGGATGGGGGAGAGGAGAGCAGGGGAGGGAGCAAGGGAGAGAGCACTGGATGGAGCCCCACTGGTGTGTGTGTGTGTGTGTGTGTGTGTGTGTGTGTGTGTGTTGAGAGTAGCATGCTGGGCTGGAGCTGGGGAAAATGGGGATCTGGGAGGAGCCTGGGAGGAGCCCTCTGCCCCACCTTGAATGGGCAGAATGAAGCCGCGGGCCCAGTCAGCAACTTGCGGAAGGATGTACAAGCCCCATCTGGACTCTTACCACCACGGAGCCCTTGAAACAGCCCTGACCCTACTTGCTCTTTGGTATCCTCCAGGATGGGTTGGGGGCAGTGTCCCAAGAGGGCACGAATGCAGCGAGGTGGGAAAGGACTGAGGAGGGATGGACAGATATGACACCGACAGAGCCAGTGTGGGAAAGTCAGTCAGAGATTGGGGTCGCTGGAGCTAGGCGGCTTGAGGAGAGAAGGCCCATGGGGCAGGGCTCCTGGGAAGGCACCCAGCCCCAGCCAGACCTATGTCCGAGGCTGGGACAGACGCCAGGCAACGGGGCGGGCTTCCTGAGGTGGGTGACAGAGGGGCAGGGGCCTCAGCTGGAAGGGGGGGAACCCTAAGTGGGGGGAGTTGGGCGGGCAATTGGGCCAGGGCGCCCCCTGCTGCTCTCTCGCGGAGCTCCCCGCTTTGGGCTCCCCCGTGGGGTTGGCCGAGCTTTGCGGAGTCCGAGTTCTGAGGTTCTTCCAGTCTCTCCTCCCGTGTGGAAGTGGGCGCTCAAAATCTTTGTCCAGTCCTGAGAACCGAAGGGTTAGCGCCCCCAAATCGCCCTCACTGGGGATCGACTTCCGCGGAGGCGGCCGCCACCCCAAGCAGGGGCGCGGACAGATAAATGAGCCGGTCTCGGTGCGCCCGCGGCGTGGGCGGGGGGGGGGGGGGGGCCTCCTCCCAACCTCATTAAAACGGAATTAAAGGTTTCCGAGGCGCCTGACCTTTCCCCAGCTGCTGGCGGGGGAGGGCGGGGGGCGTGGGGGGCGGCCGCGGGGAGAGGAGGGGAAGGAAGGGATACTTACTTGGCTTGGTCTCCTCGGCGCCCTATCTGCCTGATTGAGGGGGATGCGGCCCCCTTGGTTTCTCCCGAAAGCTGCTCCCCCACCCCCAGCTTCTGTTCCCTGAAGGGAACGGATCTGCTGTTGGCACCGCGTTCTCAGCGCAGCTTCGCTCCCTCCTTTGGTCCCAGTCTGTACCAGAGCAGGTGGCTTGGAGGAGGACTGCATTCGTGCCCTCACTGTGCAGAGGTGCGCCGTGGTAGGCAGTGACTTGGTCGCCCACCTCTGTTGACGGAAAGGGGTCTGGGGGTGCCAGGTTCCTAGAAGGACTTCCTGTGCTGGGGCTGTGAGGGCTGGGTCAGCAAGGAAGCAGCCCCTGCAATGGGAAGATGCTTGGAAGGTTGTCTTGTGGGCAGGAGGATGGTCGTTGTGACCATTGTTCACCGTGGCTGAGGTCTGGCTGGGAGTCCAGGCTTCAGCCTTCTCCTGGGGGTAGGAAAGGCGTGTGTGTGTTGGGAAGAGGAAGGGTCTGATCAGTTGAACTTACCCCACCCTAGCAAAACTCTGCTCTGGGCCCTGTCCCAGGACAGGTGCTGGGGCAGAGAGAGGAGTCGGACCCATTTCTGCCTTCTAGAAGCTCAGTCTGGGGGAAGGCAGGGTCACCTTCAGACCACCACTGGCCAAATGAAAGAATGCAGCCAGCAGGAGCTCTAGTGGCGGAGGCTGGAGCACCAGGAGGTGCCTCACAGCGCAGACAGCATTTGAGTGGGACTTTGGGACACAGGTAGGGGGTGAACAGGCAGAGAAGAAGGAGACGGATATTCTCAGCAGAGGGCCCAGCATGAGCAGAGGCAGGGTGGTGGAGTGCTGGGGGAAGAGTGTGATCCCGGCAAGGCTGAGAAGGGGGGTGCATGCTGGTGAGCAAGATGCTACCTGTGGCTTTGGCTGCCAAGAGAAGCTCCCGATTACTGTCCCCTCACCTTCTCAAATACCCTGGGCAGTGAAGAGCTCTTGAAAGGTATTTGGATTGTTTGCCATCTGCCTCTCCTCCAAGCCTGAGCCTTCCTACTCAAGTAGAAATGTTCTTCTGAGGGACACCCCCTCCCCGGTGCACACACATCTGATGGATCCCGTCCTGCTGCTCCACCCCCATGCTCCTGGGGCCACAGGATCTCACATCCTCTGAGAGGCAGCATAGGCAGCCCCAAACCTCCCAGCTGTTGCCAGATCCTGAGGACTGAGGGTCTAGAGGGGGAAAGGGGGTGCCACAGGACAGATCTCTTGGGAGGGCTGACTCACCAGCTCCTTCCTCAACAAGCCCCATTCCTCTCTCTGGGTCTCTGCTCTTGTATTCATCATCCCTCCATCCATCCACTCACCCAGCCATCAATTGAAAGCATATTTCTTGAGCACCACCAGGCACTGTGCACTGGTGCTTCAAACACAGCAGCAATGACCGAGACAGACCAGATGGGCCCTGCTTTCACAGACCGTACAGTCTGGAGGGGTGGGCATGCTGGACATTAAACAAGTGAACAAAATAAAGAGAGAATTGCAAATGATGGCAAGTGCTAGCAAGGAAACCAGCAGGCCCTGCAAGGACTGTTGGGGCCTGATAGAGATGGGGTCAGCGGAGGGCTCTCTGAGGAATATGCTGCCCTGTGCAGGGCTGCCTGGCTGAGCTCTGGGACTCTGCAGCTCACAGGTCAAGGTGCCTTAATTGCAGATTCTTCGTGTGGAAAGAGTCTTTGGCTCTGTTTTTCAATTATGGGATAATAAGTCCCTCTGAGGAGCAGGCAGCCCTTCGTCTCAGGCATTTGATGTGTGATTTGCGCCCACTCTTCCCCCGAGCTGTGCCAGCACACCAGATCCTTACATGGGGGTGTGGTGTCCATTAGCCACGGTGAACTTGGTGAGGGTGGGGGGTGGGAGCTGTGCTGGGCTTTCAACCTTCTCTGCAGCTCCAGTGCCCACTCTTGAGTGCTCCCACTGGGCCCCAGACCCACCCCCTGGTTAGCAAGAGTAGGTGCAAGAGTATGTTCTGTTGGTTAGAAGGGAGCCGTGTGTGTGCTGGTGATTGTGTTTGCATATCGGTTGGGGGTGCGGGCAGAAGCGTGTGCATGGCTCTCAGGTATGTGAACTCAAGTATCCTGTTTACAGGTATGAATGTGCACGTGTGGATGGCAGTCACTGTGGGTGTGGGTGTGTGGATGTCTTCGAGTCTGTGACTGCACTGTGTGTGTGTCTATGTGTGTGCAGGTGCGCACATGCCTGAGTATCTCTATGGGACAGTGAATGTATGAGTGTGTGTGTGTGTGTGTTGGGGGGCGCTAAAGGTCTCCATGAAGTGTGTAGTGTGTTTGTGCACATGCTGGGTAGGGATGGGCTGAGGCAGCCCAGGAGTGTGTGCACAGAGAGGTACGTCCAGTGGGTGGAGGAGGACTCCATGATTCCTTCCTTCCCTCCAACCCTCTGAGGCTCTCATTCAGTCTCCCAGCTCTGTACTGGGACCAGGCTATTTTGCCAGCCCAGGAAGTCCACAGCCCTAGAGAGGTCCCAACTTTCCCTTTTCCTGAGAGATGAGTCCAGGTGGAAAGAACAAGAAGGATGTCCTCCCCCATCTACTAACAGTAAAATGCCCACGTTTCTGTAAACCATATGCAAATGAACCATGCTCCCAGCGCCTTTCAACAACCTGTCTTATAGGAGTCATAGATGGAGCTTCATCCAGAGCTTAACCTTCAAACCACCCTTGGCGGCCCAGCCCTCTTCCAGGTCTTCCTGCCTCCAGTCTTGCTCCCCGCAACTCCCCCTACCTTGTAGACCATGGTCCACAGATGCTAAAGCCTGCTGTGGGTCCCCAGTACAATCAAGCTGAAGTCCAATTCCTTAGACTTGCACCCGCCCTGTGGTACCATGGACCACACCACTGCCCGGGTCCTCAGCTCCCCATACCACCTACTACCCAGCACTGCCAGGACAGCCTCCCGCCTGCAATGTCGCCTCCGGGCTCTGCTTGTCTTCCCAGTTCTGGAAGGCCCCCAGGTGCCTCCCCCTCTGAGCTCCCACAGCCTATAAGTTCCCATCCACTCAATCTGCCCTCTCCTTCTTCCTCAGGTATGAAGTTCTGCACCCCCTTCATCACATCCACCACTCCATCCCACCCCAGCCAGACTGTGAGCTTCCTGAGCACCTGCTGGTCTCCTCCTCTCCATCTGCTCCTGGCAGGGGACTTAGAGCAGAGGCGGGCAGGGGCTGCTGAGTGGGGAGGGAGGATGAAGGAGGGGACCCCAGTGCAAGCACTGTGGTGAGCCCTGCAGGTGGTGAGCAGCTCTGAGTAGGTGCCCAGGAAGCTGGTGACGCAGGTGGGGAGGCTTGCTGGCAGGGCCTGCAGTGCTCCCCCCTTCATTTTCCTCACCAAGCACCCAAGCAGGGCTGGGAGAAGGGACTTCACAGAGCATGAAAGATGGGCTGAGGGGATTCCAGGTGACTGACACAGGGAAGTTGGAGAGGGACAGGGTGATGGGTGTGATGATGAGAAGGGATCTGGAGAAGGGAAGGTGTGGGCAGAGAAGGGGAGGGAGTGGGTGGTGCTGTCCCAACTCTGCCACTTTCTGTTCTGTGACCTTGGGCAAGTCACTCAAACTTTCTGGGCCTTGGTTCATCTGCAAGGTGGAAGCTTGCCTTACTTGTTGGTGAGAATCACATGCAAGGCAAAGCACCTTATCACTCCATTCATTCATTCCTTCATTCATCCTCCCAAGTTCTTTAGGCACAGCAGATGCATCATAAACGGTGGACCTCTTCCCCTACCCCAGACTTAGGGGCAGCTCAAATCCCAACTCAGAAAGAATGGAGCTGGGAGGCTGAGGCTAATACCACTGATTCCATAATCAGGGCCTGAAGGGCTCCATAGACTGAGAGATGGAGAGGGGTCCAGGGTCACCCCGTTTCCCTCACTATACACCTGGATTGTGCTGTAGATGGAACAGTAGTTGAAAAGGCAAAGATCAGCAAAGTTCCACTTCTTTGGATTAGCCCTCGAAGGCTTCCTGGAAGAGGGGATTTTCCTGAAGCCATCTGCTTGGTCAGAGGATGGGCTTATTGAGGCCCACAGACTGGAGTGTGTATGTGTTGGTGGGGACAGGTGTGTGCCGGGCATGGGGAGGGCACTCTGGTAGAGACAAGAGGCTAGGGGAGGTAGGTCACAGCTGGTCCCCTTGTCACTCCCCTCCAGGTGCACTGTGGTCAGCTGAGTGACAGTGAGGAGTGGAGCCTGCAAGCCGTGGAGAAGCATGTGAGTGGGGGTAGGGCCGGGGTAGGATGAGGGCTGCTGAAGACCCTCATCACAACTGATGGGAAGATGATCTGGCCCGGGAGATGGACAGACCTGGGTTCCAGTCCACTACCTCTGGGCTGTGTGACCTGGAGCAAGTCACCTAACCTCTCTGAGCCTCAGTTTCACATCTGAGAATGAGGATAAGGATAGCACTGACCTACTGAGGGTACTGGTGAAATAAGGGGAGTCAAATATTTTAATACTTAGGAAGGACTATCTACATAATGATATTGAGGCTCTTCCTGGAGATTTTATGATTTTGTGACTTTAACAAGAACTTACGACTCCCCATGGGTGCTAGAGACGGAGAAATCTGACCCTGTTCTGCCTTTTAAGAGTCTGGGGGCTAGGCGTGGAGACAAACCCTGTACTTAACCTGATCATGGACCGAGGGGCACTCTGGGGGCAGTGGGAGTCCACAGGAGGGTGGAGCGCTGAGGGATGAGTTGTTTGGGACGCGGGTGGGGGGTGAGGGCCATGGGCACCGCAGGCAGAGGGAAGGGCTCGAGCAAAGGGCGATAAAGGTGAGGCGTGTGGCTTGCTGACCGCTCTGCCCGTCCCAGACCCTGGTGGCCCTGAAGAGGGTCCAGGCCCTGCAGCAGCGTGGGCCCAGCGCGGCCCCGGAAGCGGTCCAGAATACTCCAGAGGGGGCGGCGGGAGACCAGAAGGGTGGGGTTCCGTACACAGACCAAGACCGAAAGATCCTGCAGCTTTGCGGTGAGGACCCGGCTGGGGCAGGTCCTTGGGGGCGGGGAAGGGCGGGGTCGAACCTGGAAGGGAGGGGCCCATGGGTGGGCGGGGCCTGAGGGTGGCGCGCACCCTTGGGGGATTCTGTGGGCCCTCTCTCTCTGACCCGCGCCCCGCCATTGCAGGGGAACTCTACGACCTGGATGCCTCTTCCTTGCAGCTCAAAGTCCTCCAATACGTGAGTCCCTGTGCCCCTCCTGGGACCAAGGTCCCTGTGAGCCGTCCATCTCAGTTCAGAGTCCCGTGTCCTGCCCCTCTTCTCTTCCCCACCTACCCGAGGAACCTCAAAAAGGCCAGAGGGTGGGGAGTGGGTTTGCTCCCAGATCCACGGTCAGCCTCTCGCTGTGTCCCTCCCTCTCAGCTGCAGCAGGAGACCCAGGCGTCCCGCTGCTGCCTCCTGCTGGTATCTGAGGACAGTCTCCAGCTTTCCTGTAAGGTGAGGGCCCAGGTCCACTGTGGAGCAGGGCGAGGGACCGGGGTCTCTGAGAGGAAAAACCCTGCCCATCCTTAACCAGTCCACCTCGCTCTGCCCATCAGGTGATTGGAGATAAAGTGCTGGAGGAAGAAATCAGCTTTCCGGTGAGTCCCGCACCCCCCTGTGTGGGAGTCTGCAGAAGCAGTTAAAGTCGTCTAGGCTCTCCTGGGATCTGCCCAGAGAGATTGGGATCTGCTAGAATCTCTTGGAATCTGATGGAATTATCTGGATCTTGAGGTCTACTTAGAAATGTTGTGAGAGATCACAACCTCTCATGATCAGGAGCCATTAGGAGAAATCTCTCACAGTCTACAGAAAGACTCACCTGCGACCATTTCACTTCTGTTGGAGTATTTCTGGATTTGGCTCTCTTAGAATCTGTTAAGATCAGTGAGAATCCTTGGATTCTGCTTTCCTTTCTCCTAGTTAGGGAAGACCCTCAAGTCCTCCATAGGAGATTCTGGTCAAGAGCCTACTCCCCCACCCTCACCCCACCCTCACTCCTCAGTGTTGACTCCATCCACAGTTTGGACTGACTGAAGAGGTAGTTGAAACTTCCAGACTTGGGGAGGGGGAAGAGGTCTGACATCGCCTGATCTTGGGAAGAGCTGGGCCCTGACTGGCTCTCCTCACTCCCCCAGTTGACGATGGGACGACTGGGCCAGGTGGTGGAAGACAAGAAGTCTATCCAGCTGAAAGATCTCACCTCTGTAAGCCATGGCCTGGCTGGACTGGCGGGGAGCCAAGGGGAGAGCCCACTGCCCAGTCCCCAGGGCCAGAGTCTCTGGGCCAGGGCAGCCTAGGAATGGGGGGAGACAAGACCCCACCGCATGTCATAGCATTTCCCACCCTGCATGAGCCCTTCAGCCCCTCCTGTTGCAGAGTGTGGTGGAGGGCGGGGGAAGGAAGCATATTTCCTCCTTCCCTGCCCTGACTTGCCTCCCCCTTGCCTCCCCTTTGCAGGAGGATGTGCAACAGCTGCAAAGCATGTTGGGCTTCGAGGTGCAGGCCATGCTCTGTGTCCCTGTCATCAGCCGGGCCACTGACCAGGTGGTGGCCTTGGCCTGCACCTTCAACAAGCTTGGAGGAGACTTGTGAGTCTGGGTGGAGTGATGTGGATCAGGAGATGGAGCTGAGAGGCCAGGCGGGGCTCGACTAGGGTAACAGCGCGGGAAGGGTACTGGGAAGGGAGTACTTACTATTCCAGCAGCGGTAGGTTGAATGGTTTGTCTGTGCAAGAGACTGTGAGATTATGGGAGCGATAGACCCTTGCCGCTGCTCCATTTTGACTTTGTAAAATCATGTTGCGGTCCAGGCGAGTTCCCCTTCTCTTTGCCCACTTCCTGCAGTTTGGATTATCCACTTTTTGCTACTGGCCTTTCCCCCACTTGGCATCCTTTGTTTTGGCATTTCTGCTGGGAACTGCCTGATGGAGGAGCGATGAGCTCTAGAATGGGTGAATTCTCTGGGACCCGCAGAGCATCACCGACCCAGTGGACAGTGACTCAGGGAATAGGCATGGGGGCTGGGCTAAGCTGAGGGTCCTTAGAGGCATTGACAGGGCAGCTGTAGGAATCGTGTGAAACAGAGGGGTAAGCAGGACACACGGTCAGGTAAACAAGCTTAGTCCGTATCTCAAGAACTGAGGTCAGATTTGAGGCCTAGAAGTCGTATCATAGATTTCATGTCCCACACCAACTCATTAATTGGTAGCAGCTGCCTGAAGCATTGTATTAGTTTAGTGAGAAACAGTGCTGTGATCGATCAGCCGTGTCTGTCCTGGGTGCAGCTTTAGAATGTGAATGCTGCCACACTTGGTCCAGCAGGCCTAGCAGTAGGGTGTAGTAGGCAGGTGAGGGGTTGCATTCTGATTCCAGGATGCAGAGAGATGCTGTCAAGATGCTTGGCCCCTGCGGCCCAAGCAAGCAGGCTGGGTTTGAGGGCTCGGACCTCCTGCAGGAAGTGGAGACTGGAGATGTTGGAACTAGAGAGTGTCAGAAGCCCAGGGATGGGGCCTGCAGGGGTGGGGCAGAGATCTGGGTGTCAGAGATCTGAGTAGCAGGACCTGCCAGCATGGAGCTCTATTGGCAGTTGGATGGGCCTGGGAAAATAAAGACAGGGACAAGGCAGAACCTGCTGAGGCAGCGGGGATGTAGGATCTGTGTCATTTGTCCCATCCTAGTGGTGGGAGCATTTGTGCCATTCAATAAACACACATTGAGTACCTACTGTGTCTGGCCCTATGCTCCCAGAGGGGAGGGTCCAGCAGGGTTTGTGACCTCTGGCTGCTGGCTGTAGCCTTGGGTTCTGAGGTGGCCCTGGACCTGGAGGAGAGGTGGTATCAGAAGGGAAACAAGATGGGGACTTGGTGACAGCCCTGAGGCCCAGGGCAGGGGCAAGGTCATCTCTGGGTTCCACATATTTAAGGGAGTGAGTGCTGAACAACTGCATGAGCCAAGGTGGTGCTCAGCTCAGAGCAGACACTGCAGAGAAGCTGCCTGGAGCCCAGAGAAAAGGGACTCCAGAATCCCTTTAGCTGGGAGTGCGATGGGGCGGGTGGCAGGGGCAGAGGTACAGTTACGACATTTAGCAAACACTTTCCAAATATCTCCCCTGTACCAGGCTCTGTATTAGGGGATGATACAGTCATGGTCCCTGCCTTCAAGACTTGATGTTTATTTTTAGGGCGTAGAGGGAGGAGGGTGGGAAAGGTATTCCAGGCAGAGCGAACAGTGTGGGAAAAAGCATGAAGGTGTGAAAGAGCCTGAGGTTTTCTCAGAACGATGAGGATCTTACTGTGGCTGAAGCTGAGAGACGCCCATAGAAGAGGGGAGAGAGGTGGGTGGGACTAGATGGAGAGGGCTCAAATGCCACGAGAAGGAAGGTGGGCAGACAGACACAGGGTGGTGGGGATTGGGGTCTGGATCCAAATCACTGGACAGCGAGCACGCGTGGAGGATACCCCGGCAGAGAGGAGCACTGAAGGCAGCCCCCAAATGGGGAAGGGACTAGGCGGGGAAATCTGGGGGCTGAGAAATGGTCAGAATCTCTGAGGAATGCTGCATCTCCCCATGATCCCCATCTGGAGAGGCTTACCCACGTCCCCAGCCCAGGTCCCACCTCCAGCTTGGTCCATCCAGTCCCACCAAGCTCCCTGGTGACAAATCATCTGGTGACCCCACTGAATGACCTCCTCAGGATTTGGGGCTGATCTTGTCCATTGTGAGCCAGCTCCATGAATCTGATGGGCACTGCCCTGCCCACAGCACCATAGGACTTGTGGAGGCACCAAATCGGGGCCTGCAAAGTGCAGGGAGGAGGGTAGGACAGTGACAGGAGCTGGAAAAGACAGGGCAGTGCCACCGCCCCTCCCTGAGGCTGGAGGGGCCCCTGGAGAAGAGCAGGAGAACACCCAGCCCCAGTCTGAGGGAGGAGACTCAACCTCAGTCTGGGTAAGTCTAAAGTCAGAGGAGGGAGACATGGCTCTGGCTTCAAGAAGCAATAGCCTGAGGAAGAAAACACATTTTGGTCAGAGGAGGATTAGAACTCCCCCACCCCGCCCCCGCTCAGGAGCCCCCAGTCTGAGGGGGAAGCTGGCCCAAGCCACCTGTGCGGTGAGCAGCCCCAGCAGAGGAGTGAGTTTGCTGGTGGATTTCCAAGTGGGCTTCCTGGAGGAACGGAAGTAAGGCAGAATGGGGCAAGCAGCCTGTGGTCTGTCCCTCGCCGGTGACCCCCGCCACCCCACCCTGCCAGATTCACAGACCAGGATGAGCGTGTGATCCAGCACTGCTTTCACTACACCAGCACGGTCCTCACCAGCACCCTGGCCTTCCAGAAGGAGCAGAAGCTCAAGTGTGAGTGCCAGGTGAGTGGTGCCTCTCTCGGAGACCACGTTGCCCAGCTCTCAGCTCCAGCGAGTCAGCCACAAGGGAAAAGCCCATGTCTTTGGGGGCTGGTGGCAGGGAGACTACCTATGCTCTGGCGGCCTCTTAAAGAGGGAGGACAGGGCTCCCCTGGTGGCGCGGTGGTTGAGAGCCCGCCTGCCGATGCAGGGGACACGGGTTCGTGCCCCCGTCCGGGAAGATCCCACATGCCGCGGAGCGGCTGGGCCCGTGAGCCATGGCCGCTGAGCCTGCGCGTCCGGAGGCTCCGCAACAGGAGAGGCCACAACAGTGAGAGACCCGCGTACCGCCAAAAAAAAAAAAAAAAAAAGAGGGAGGACAGTAGCTCTTCAAGACGGCACCTCTGGCTGCAGGCACTGTATGCGATCGCCCTCTAGTGTTCAGATTGGACATCACCGCAACAGCTGGGTGGCTAGAGCTGGAGGTGCATTGCGCACCTCAGACTCAGGATGTCTGTGCACCCTCACTGGGGCTATTCCTCCCACTCCTTCACTTAGTAGCCAAATGATATAATTAGACTCTGCCAGCCTCCAGTCTGTCCAGAGAGCCCTAGGGGAGGAATGAGAAGACCCTGGAGCTGATGGAGGCAGGAGGCTGGAGAGGGTGACCCCCTGCAACCTGATTCCCTGTGATTTCTATTTTCTCCATTCCAGGCTCTTCTCCAAGTGGCAAAGAACCTCTTCACTCACCTGGGTGAGTGCACTGCCCTCCTTCATACCTGGCTGTGGGGTGGGAGTGGGGGGGTGGCATTTTGAGGAGGGGAGGTGGGCGGGCTTGGCCTCAGCACTCCGGCCTGGTCTCACCACTGTTCCCCATGCTTCTTGCTCCCACAGATGACGTCTCTGTGCTGCTCCAGGAGATCATCACAGAGGCCAGAAACCTCAGCAATGCTGAGATGTGAGTGAACCCGCCCGGGGGTGGGGCGAGAGAGGCCTTGGGCCTCAGTAGTGACCTCTTCTTTCCTCCGCTCTTTTTTTCCCCTCCATTGTCTTCTTGTGGGACCCCATCACGTTTTCTGTGATTCTTTATTTCATGCCTGTGACTCTCACTAGACTGTGACATCAAGTGACAGCAGGGGTGGGGCTTACTTTGCTGGCCATGGGTCCTCAGCTCCTAACACAGTGCCTGGTACAGAGTAGGCGCCACAAAAAAAAAAAAAAAATAGTAATCGATCTGGACTGATGTCTGGAGTCAGCCAGCTCTGAGGAGAGTCTCTCCCTCCAGGCCTCAAAATCCAGGCTTTGCCTCTAGTCGTGAGATTTGAGGGCTGGCAGGAGAGGGGTGGCGGGAGAGGGGTGTCAGAGCTCTGTGAACCAAAGCCATCTCTCCACAGATGCTCTGTGTTCCTGCTGGATCAGAACGAGCTGGTGGCCAAGGTGTTCGATGGGGGCGTGGTGGATGATGAGGTGAGGCAGGGCCTTGAGGAGGGAGGGTGTGGCCGTGGTCCTGGGGGCCGGGAGTACGCAGTGGGCGCTGTGGAGCAGGCCCGATGGTTGATGGTCCGCTCTGCGACCGGCCACCAACTTCCTCTCTACGCCATCCCTGGCCCGGCAGAGCTATGAGATCCGCATCCCGGCCGACCAGGGCATCGCGGGCCACGTGGCGACCACGGGCCAGATTCTGAACATCCCGGACGCGTATGCACACCCACTTTTCTACCGCGGTGTGGACGACAGCACCGGCTTCCGGACGCGCAACATTCTCTGCTTTCCCATCAAGAACGAGAACCAGGGTGCGTGGTCCTGGCGGCTCCGGGAGGAGGGGTGGGGCGGGGCCTGAGCAGGATGGGGCGGAGCCGAGCGGACGTTCCACAAGCCTTCTCCACCACCCTAGTGTCCCTAAGCTGAAGGGATGGGTTTTCCCAAATACGTGATGTCCCTTGAGGACACCCTGGGAGGGCAGATCTCCGTCGGACACATCCACGGGTTCATCCTAGCCCCTCTTTGGTCCCCAGAGGTCATCGGTGTGGCCGAGCTGGTAAATAAGATCAACGGACCATGGTTCAGCAAGTTTGACGAGGATCTGGCGACAGCCTTCTCCATCTACTGTGGCATCAGCATCGCACATGTGAGGAGGACAGGGGCGTGCAGGACCCTCTGTTCTCTCCACATTGGCTCTCCTTGCTCTGTCCAGACGGGTCCGTGCCCTGCCCTGGGGCTCAGAGCCCTGCTGCTGGGTTGCTGTGCAATCTTCAGTACCTACTGGTCACCTCTGGCCTCAGTTTCCCATCAGAAAATCAGAGATACTACTTCCTGTCCTGTACAGTTAGCCTCCCAGGACTATGGGAGATCTGTTTTATTTCCCTCCATTCTCTGGAAGCAACCTCAACCCAAGCTCCTGGTTATTCTTTTTGGGATATGTTGGGTCTCATTGTCCAAGGCTGGCAGCTCTGGCCCAGGAATCCAACCCCTAGGCCCCCAACGCTGTCCCCCTTCCTTGCTTCTGTCTCTCTGTTGTGGGCCTCAGGTTCCATCACTGAAACCTGGGACAAGCTCAGGAGAGTGTGCCAAGTGCCAGCTCAAGTGCTAAGAGGCACTTGGAAGGAGGGGCAAGGGGAGGTCTGGATGAAAGTTGGAGGGGGCCCCCTACTCTGGGCTGGAGCTTGAAGGCTCAGACTGGGCCCAGCATGGGACAGGAAGGGGGCAGGGGTTCTATCTGATCCCATTGTCCCAGTCCTGGACGTTCTGAGATTTCACAGCCACCTTGCCTGAGCCCCATCTTTCCCTCTCTCCCCGCAGTCCCTCCTATACAAGAAAGTGAATGAGGCCCAGTATCGCAGCCACCTAGCCAACGAGATGATGATGTACCACATGAAGGTGAGCCCTGCACGGAGCTTCTGCCCTCCTTGTCAGGGCCCCAGGGTCCCCTGTAGCCCACCTTTTCCTCCCCTGCCTCCCCAAATCCTCAGGCGCCCAAGACAGGCTGGGCTTTCTTATCTTCCTCTCCTGAATATAAGAAGATAGACCCAGGGCTCCCCTGGTGGCGCAGTGGTTGAGAGTCCGCCTGCCGATGCAGGGGACATGGGTTTGTGCCCCAGTCCGGGAAGATCCCACATGCCACGGAGCGGCTGGGCCCGTGAGCCATGGTCGCTGAGCCTGCGCGTCCGGAGCCTGTGCTCCGCAACGGGAGAGGCCACTACAGTGAGAGGCCCGCGTACCGCAAGAAAAAAAAAAAAAAAAAAGAAGATAGACCCAGAGCAATGCCTCGCCTTTTGCTCTGCTGCTCTCCTTCGGGGCAGCCGGCCTTCAAAGCAGTTTCTGGTTCAGCCCCAAGGCTGGCAGCACTACTTAGCCCAGGGAAGAATTGATTCAGCCAGGTGTTCCCAATGTCCAGGGATAATTCCCATCCTGGGAATTACTGAAGGCTGGGAAGCCCACCCAGGGCCCTTCTGACATACCCCTTAAATACAGTGGCCATGCATTCCTGGGCAGTCCCATTCCCAGACCTTGTGTTAGAAAAGCTGTCCCAGACTTTAGTTCAGAGTATGTGGTGGTCATTGTTCATTTGAACATTCCTCTCATCTGTGTCTAAACCAAAGTGTCACAGACTTTGTGGCTACGGTCAAAGCTGTAGCAGGAGGGATTGAGGTTAGACTCTGGGATGGTCCTCCCAAAAGAAGGAATCTTTAATTTATTGTCCATGAAAGGCTACCTGTGCTGTCATGAAGAGGTGTTCTCTGTCTCTGACAAGGATAGGCTGTCACAGATGAGGGTGGTCACTGGAAAGGAGGCCTAGTAGGTGGGCTGCAGGATGGTGAGGGGACGGCGGTGTTCTCCTGTCCGGTGATAACCCGTGGAGTGGATGGCCCGACTGGTGTGCATTCTGAGTGGGAGGTGCCCGCCACTGCGGGAAGTTGAGGTTGAAGACGTTGGATTGGGTGCAGGCCATCTTCTAATACCCCGGCTCGTTCCCTCTAGGTCTCTGACGATGAATACACCAAACTTCTCCATGATGGGATCCAGCCTGTGGCTGCCATTGACTCCAATTTTGCCTGTTTCACCTACACTCCTCGCTCTCTGCCCGAGGATGACACCTCCATGGTGAGCTGGCCTGTCCCACTTGAATGTGGAGGTGGAGAGTGCACAGCCGGAGATTGAAGTTAGATGTGCATAGGAACTTCCTGGCAAGACAGAGTCATCGAAGAAGGCTATAGAGTCTCCTCAGAGATGGAGGGGCATGTGGTCTGCCAGCATGGGCCACAGGGCCTGCCCAGGGGCCAGGGGCTGGACTGGAACCAACGATGGCCTCAGGATTGGCACCTCCCTCCCTGTTTTTCTAAGATTTTGTGTGAACTTGGTTCCAAGAGTTCTTAGATGTCATATTTCTAAGTTCATGGCTCCGAGAGTGCTCGGCTCTACCGTTTTATAGTTCTCTAGTTTAGATCTCAAGTTCCAAGACTCCAAAATGTTGGAGGCTCCAAGAAGGGCCAAGGCTGGGGGTGGGGTGGCCCATCTTGAAACTGACGATGCCTCTGATCCCTCCTTTCCACTCTCTCCAGGCCATCCTCAGCATGCTGCAGGACATGAATTTCATCAATAACTACAAAATTGACTGCCCAACGCTGGCCCGGTGTGTGTCCCCAGCCCTCCCCTCCGTGCAGGCAGCCCCATCTCTGCCTCCCTCCTAACTCTACTCTCACATCCATTGCCCCCTGCACTCTGGGAAGGACTGTCTGAGGATGCCTAGGGGAGGCCCACTCTTGTGAGGGTGGGGGGGACCTGTGAGTGAGAAGCAGTTCACAGACACTGGGACCACAGGATAGGAAAGGAATGGGGCAGGGCAGAGCCTGGAGGGTTTCCTGGAGGAGGAGAGCCTGAGGCCCCTGTGCTGCCCTCTCCCCTCCCCCAGGTTCTGTTTGATGGTGAAGAAGGGCTACCGGGATCCACCCTACCACAACTGGATGCACGCCTTTTCTGTCTCCCACTTCTGCTACCTGCTCTACAAGAACCTGGAGCTCGCCAACTACCTCGAGTGAGTGACTGCACTTCCCCCCATCTGGTAGCTGGTGGGGTCCCCTTCCCTGGGACAGGGTGGCACCTCCTGTGTGGCAGGCTTTACATACACTGCCTCACGGGACCCTCTTAACAGCCCAGTTAGAAAGGTACAAGGCCCCTTTCCAAGAAGGGGACCCAGGTGTCCTGAGCTCCTGTCCAGGCGGTTCCTGGACATCTGCAGTCAAATACTCAACCACTGAGCTATTCCCCTTATCCTGGACGTCTCGTCCAGCTGGCCCTCCTTTGGAAGTGTGGGGAGGCAGCAGTGGCTGACCTCCTTGTCCTGTGTCTCCTCCCAACCAGGGACATGGAGATCTTTGCCTTGTTTATTTCCTGCATGTGTCACGACCTGGACCACAGAGGCACAAACAACTCCTTCCAGGTGGCCTCGGTGAGACCCTGCCCTCGTCACAGTGGGCACCCTTCCCGAGGTGTCTGGGAGTCTCTGCGCTCCAGCCTGGGGAGAGGCGGGAGTTGGTGAGGCCAGGAGCCGGTTTAGAGATGGGAGGAGGCTCTTGCAGGCGTTGGGAGGTGGCGGGAGGAGCAGGCAGTTCTGAGCCTAATACGGCAGCACTTGCCTCTGGATGTGAGGAGTGATGGACTTTTCTCGGGCTTTTCCAGAAATCTGTGCTGGCCGCGCTCTACAGCTCAGAAGGTTCTGTCATGGAGGTACCACCGTTCTGCCCAATATCCCCATTTCCACTGTCCCCTTAAAGCCAGTGACTTACTAAGTTAGACTGTGGCCCAGCTCGTCCCCCTCCCAAGCCCTCCTCCTCAGACAGGCTATGAGAGCTGCAGCCACCCCCAGGGCACGCCTGGCTCTTGTTCCCCGATGGGCTTGGCCCTAGGGGTGCAGGTGCGGCTGGGGGTACGAATCAGGCAGCAGGTTCCGCCTGAGCCCAGGTTTGCCGAGGGAGGACTTGCATTTAGCATGTTTCTCTCTGCATGTCTGGGGACACCCTGTGAAACCCCCTCCCCGCCCAGCCGGGCACAGGCTTCCCTGCCATCATACTCAGCTTTGCCCTAGACTGATGTGGGTGGGTCTGCACGCCCCCGATGGGAGCTCCTGGGGGCAGGGACAGAATCGGGGACATCTCTGAGTTCCCTGCACCTGGCAGAGGGCTTGGCACAGAGTGGGAGTCAGACTTGCAAGCTCGCCTTGCCCCACGCGGCCCCCGCAGGCCCCCTCCAGAGCTGCTACCGCTTGCACACCCCTAGAGACGAGGGGCTCGCTTCCTCTTGGGAGGCATGGTGGCAGCCCTGCTTCTGCCCTCCATGCCCTGGGCTTACCTGCCCCTCCTCTGAGTGACAGCCCTTCAGCATCAGGAGACAGGGTCCTTGCCCTCGCCTCGTCACCGCCCTTCCTTGTCAGCACACAAATGCTGGCTGCGTGAATTAGTGTCCAGGACTCCGAGGGATCATTTCAGAATCGTTCCAGCTTGAGAGGCCCTCAGAGCTTACCTTGTTGTGTCCCTCCATGTGACAGCTGAGGAATCCAAGGCTCAGAGGTGGCCAGGGACTTGCCCAGGGTCACAGAGAGGGTTGAAACAGAGCCCAGAAAGGGAACGGGCCCCGCACCCCCGACTCCCCAGTTCTGCCTGCTCAGCTCACCTTGGGGGCTGGGGCTGGGCCGGGCCTGCTCCCACTCTTGGGGTCAGTGAGGATGGAAGCCCCCCACCCCAGCTGGACCCCCATCACTCCTCTCCCCCCAGAGGCACCACTTCGCTCAGGCCATCGCTATCCTCAACACCCACGGTTGCAACATCTTTGACCACTTCTCCCGGAAGGTGATGAGGCCGGGGGTGGGGCTGGGGGTGAGGAAATGGGAGCTGGGAGCTGGCCTGAGACGGGAGAAGGAGTGAAGCCGAGGGGTGGAGGTTCCTGAGGTCTGGGGGCAAGGGTGGGGTGTCTGGTCAGAGGCCTTGACACCCTCCCCCACCCCTGGCCCTGGCCCAGGACTATCAGCGCATGCTGGACCTGATGCGGGACATCATCTTGGCCACAGACCTGGCCCACCACCTCCGCATCTTCAAGGATCTCCAAAAGATGGCCGAAGGTGCCTGCCTTTAGCCCAGGCCTCAGGGATGGGGAGGGACCACCAAGAGGGGGATTCGCCTGGAGAGCATCCCCAGGGGTTTAGATCCACCCCTTCTGGCATCAACCCAGCAGGCAGACCCAGCCCTACATCCCTGGCTCCCATCCAGGGTGCTGAATTCCCTGGACCACTTTGGGGTGGGCCCTGGGGCCTTGCCCTCCGAGAGAGGGTACCAGGATGCTGGGTCCCTCTCCTTGACCCCGTTCTCTCCCCAACAGTGGGCTATGACCGAACCAACAAGCAGCATCACAGCCTCCTTCTCTGCCTCCTTATGACCTCCTGTGACCTCTCTGACCAGACCAAGGGCTGGAAGACAACGAGGAAGATTGCCGTAAGTGCTGCCCCAGCCTGGGAAGGCGCAGGCTGTACTCCCTGCCTGGCTCTGTGTGGCTCCCGCAGCCTGAACACCCTCCCTGTGCTGAGCTCAGCCTGTGGGGGAGACAGGAACCTGGACCCCCTCAGGACGACAGGTGGGGAGATTCAGGGAGGGGCATGGACTCACTGGGGGGGTCACTCATAGCAAATCAGTGGCTGGTGGAAGGTGGGCCAGAACCCAGCCACTCCTTCCCATCTGGGGCCCATCCCCCTGCCAGGCCGGAGATGGTGAGGGCAGGTCCTGAGGTCACAGTGCCTCAGTTTGCCCCCTTGGGAATGGGCTGTGGAGGAGCGTGGGTGGATGGATCCCACTCACAGGAGGTAATGAGAGTGTTGACCTTTCAGGAGCTGATCTACAAAGAGTTCTTTTCCCAAGGAGACTTGGTATGTAGGGAGTGACCGCAGGGTGTCCAGGTTGGGGGAGGGTTCCTAGCCTGGGCCCCGGGAGGGCTGGGTTAGCCTGATCCGGGTGCTTATGGAGGAAGGAGAGGGCCAGGCCTGACGACTTGATGCCTGCAGGAGAAGGCCATGGGCAACAGGCCAATGGAGATGATGGACCGTGAGAAGGCCTACATCCCCGAGCTGCAGATCAGCTTCATGGAGCACATCGCAATGCCCATCTACAAGTGAGCGATCTCGTGGGGCCTGCTAGGGACCCCAGCCAGGGACAGCAGGGTGGGTGGGATGGGGCTGGCTGTGGCTGTCACAGCAGACACAAGTGGTGGGCTGGCCTGGCTCTGCTCCAGCTCATCCACTCCCTGCCTCTGGGCACAACCTCTCCTGCTTTGCCCCTAAATGGGCCCTTCACTTCATCCTTGGTCCCTTATGGAAAGAGACCGCCATGTTCTCCTTGTGCTTCCCATCCTATGCCTCATACTCTTGTGGAAGTTTTACCTGTGGTCCAGCCCTAATCTTTCTTGCTGCTCACAGTCTAATTTCTGACCTCTTACCCTGCGCCCTCACATCCCCAGGCTGCTGCAGGACCTGTTCCCCAAAGCAGCAGAGCTGTATGAACGTGTGGCCTCTAATCGTGAGCACTGGACCAAAGTGTCGCACAAGTTCACCATCCGCGGCCTCCCAAGCAACAACTCGCTGGACTTCCTGGACGAGGAGTACGAGGTGCCTGACCTGGATGGTGCTGGGGCCCCCATCAATGGCTGTTGCAGCCTCGATGCTGAGTGAGTCCCTCCTGGGACTCCTCTTCACCCAGGCCTCCTCCCACAACTCTCCACTGGCCTGGCCACATGCCCTGGGACCAGAGCCACGGGTCCTGGATTCTAGACCAGGACTTCCCATGTGACCCCGGGCAAGGCCGACCTTCCACGGCCTCAGCTTTCTCGTCTGTATAATGGAAGACTTCCAGCCTCACCAGGACTTTATTTGTCCTCTGAGAGCACAGGGATGACAATGAACAGTGCGCCCTGCTCTGCACCTCTGACCACACCTTGGCAAGTGCCCCCCCTCAGGCCACTCTTCCGAGGCAGCCTGGATGGTTTCTCCTGGGCCCCATTTCTGCCCCACCAGATCTGTGCCCTTTTCCTCTGAGGACACCCCCTGCCCCCCAGGATCCTCACGCAAGAAGGTGAGACATCTGAGTGGGCAGAGTGTGGGTCTTAGAGACAGTCATCAGCTTGGCTGGAGGACTAGAAATAGCGATGGGGCCACAGGTGGCCCTGAGGACTGCCACTGTACTTATAGTGGAGACTGGGACCTGAGGAGATGAAGGGGTCCCATAAGGAAGCTGCCAGGGGGGCAGCTCAGTGCTCTGGGAGAGGGGCTCAGGAAGAAAGCAGGATAAGAACAGTGGGCAGGAAGGATGCCTGGGCTAGGAGGCAGGCCCATCATGGGTCAGCAGTGCTTCATCCTGGCTGTCCCTGGGCAAGTCCCTTCCCCTATCTGGATGAAACAGGAGGGTGAGACAATCCATTCTCTAAGACCCCTTTTAGATCAAAGTCCCCATAGCTCTGTGGAGTCCCAGGAGAGGCCATGGAGTGTCCCTGGACCCCTGGGGCAGAGAGCCAACACTGAGTCCCTCAGTGGCCCCCTGAGTGCACCCCCTTAGCCCGAGCCCCTCCTGCATTCCTGCAGCCAGAGGGGAACCTGGCCTCAGCCCTGGTAGGGCTTGTCTCCTCTTCAAGGCCATATCCACCTGTGCCCCGGGGCTAGGGAGACCCAATAGGGCTGGGCCTCTGGGGTCATCCCAGCCGCAGGTTCCTCCTTTCTCTGTTTTGTTCAGTACAGTGTTGTGGGCTGGGGGGAGGGGGCCACCTGCCTTACCTATTCTGAGCTGCCTTTAGAGAGATGCGTTTTTCTAGGACTCTGTGCAACTGTTGTATATGGTCCTGTGGGCTGACCGCTTTGTACATGAGAATAAATCTATTTCTTTCTACCAACCCTCCCCCACAGGGCTGTTTGCAGACTTTGTATGTGGGGTTGGAGGCGGGGGCGGGGAAACAGCCCTGGGGGAGGCAAATGCCTTTTAGAACTCTCAGGCTACTGGAGGCCCCACCTCTGCTGCCTAGCCCCTCTTCTGGGGGAGTCCTAGACCTGCTGGGGTATCCCCGGACCAGTCCTGTGACAGATAGTAGGGACTTAGGTGTGGATGGCAGATACAGAGGCCTGAGCATGGGGCAGCGATTGTGGACTGGAAAGGGAGAATTGAGGGGCTGAAGCAATCAAGGAGGCTGCCTAGAGGAGGTGACCTGGTACTTCTCCTAGACCCTCTGTCTGCTGGCCTTCCTTAGTCATGAGTGCCCATACAGCCGAGGCCTGGGCCTCTGAACCCCCTCCGAGCCACGGGGATGCCTGTCTGTGTCCCTGTAAATCCAGCCAGAGGGGTAACCTTGAGTCTGACTCTACCTCAGATACAGCCCTGGGTTATGGCTGCGGGGTGGGTTCCCTGCTCTCCTGGCTGTGAGAGTGTTTGCTTCTGCACAGACAGAGAGGGGCAGGTCCCAGATTGGGGACCATGAGGAGGCTCTGACTGGCACAGTCTCCATACCCCACTCCCCACTTGCCTATACCCCTCCCATCTTCTATCCCTGTTCATCTCTCCCAGATCAGTAAAGGTTGGCACGTTAAGGGACTGAGCACTGGGTTCTCCTTTCCTAGGAGAAGGAGGGCTGGGAGGAGAGAGACAGGATCATCTTGAGACCACCCACAATGGCCCCAGGGTGCCAGCCGTGCCTTTGGGACCACAGAGCCTGTCTGCTTCTTCTGCCCCACAGTCTGTCATGCTTTGGAATCTGCTCCTCTGGGCTGAATGGTCCCAGGGCTCTAGACTCCCCTTGGGGCCATGGGGTCCAGGCCCCTCCCCTGCCCAGCCCCTCCTTTGGGCTCCCGCAGTCTGTCTGCCCTCTCACAGCACAGGACCCAGGCTGACCAGTGGGCCCCCAGGTGGGGATGAATCAGTTCCTGGCCCAAAGCTGACACGGGAGGACTATTCTAATGGTGCCCAGCTGAAGCCAGCGTCGGTGCGGGCTGACATAGGTGCTCCTCTACCTGTGACCCCCAACCCCGAATGTGTGTGTGTGTGTGTCCTCTTCCACAAGCCTTTGGACAAAGTGGAAGCACATCCTGGGTACCCACCCCTGGGCCTTACTTCCCCTGCCTTGCATCTGCTGTCTGCAGCCCAGCACTCCCTTGAGGACATTTAATCCCATTCGAGGCCCTCCCTCCTTGCCACCAAATTAAACAACTCACAAATATTTCCTCATGCACTCGGGACCCTACGCTGAGGCCCAGAGCTAAATTCATCCTTGTCCCTGGTCTGGAGGGTCTAACAGCCCGGTGGGGGAGACACAGGCCATGATACCTATGGTCCCAGGCAGGGGCCTGAGAAGAACAGCAAGGTTTGGAAGATGAGCAGGCATTTTCCTGCGGGCAAAGGGGGTTGGGCACCCCTGGGAGAAGGACCTGCTCCTACAAATGCACGGAGAAGGGGAGTGGAGTGGCTGGCACACAGGGAATGGAGACTTGGAGGGGGAGCCAAGGCCAGATCAGGGAGGGCCATGAATGCCAGGCTGTGGAGTTCGGCTTGATTTTGTGGGCAGCGGGGAGCCAGGGAAAGGTTTTCAGTGGGGAGTGGCTCAGACAAGCATTTTAGAAGCTCCAGCAGGAGGACAGAGCAAGGACTGGGCGGGAGAGGTTGGGCAGGGATCATTCTAGGGCGATGCTCCATGCCCTGGGCGAGGCGAGGGAGGAGGAATTCAAGACGCATTGGACCAATTGGATGGGGGCGAGGGCAGAGGGCGGACTGGCAAGTGCCCTGGAAAATGAGCTGGGAAACGAACCGGCTCGTGAGCAGCCCCGGGCAGCTTTTCAGCACCACTTTCACCGGCAACTGGGTGTTGGGTGGAGCCTCTAGCAGGAGGTGAGCTCCCTGGGAAGATGGGCGGGGCAGCTGTTTGGGGCTGCCAGGGGAGGGGGTGGGAGGAGGGTGTGGGAGGACAGATGGGAGGAGGGCCATGCATCTGCAGAGCCACGGGCAGCCCTCACCAGGTTAGAGAACCCAAGGCTTAGCCCCAGGGCTCCTAGTGGCTGCCCTGCCCTCCCAACTTAATGGTTTCATTTTACATGAAACCTCACGATTCTTTTATTTTTTTTAATTTAATTAATTTTTTTATACAGCAGGTTCTTATTAGTCATCCTTTTTATACATATTAGTGTATACATGTCAATCCCAATCTCCCAATTCATCCCACCACCACCCCCACCCACCCCCGCGCCACTTTCTCCCCCCTTGGTGTCCATACGTTTGTTCTTTACATCTGTGTCTCTATTTCTGCCCTGCAAACCGGTACAGATGAACTGGTTTGCAGGGCAGAAACCTCACGATTCTGTGGCGTAGATACTATTAGTCTCATTCTGTAGCCAAGAAGCTTGAGGTTCAGGAGTTTAAGTAATCGGCCAAGGTTGGTGTGAGCCTGACTCCTCTCCAAGGGCTCTTTCTCCGAGATAGAGGAAGGAGATTCAGGAGGGCAGGGTCCCACCTAGAACTCACACTGCAGGCTAGACCTGGGGAGCTGGTCTATGTCTCCCACATCACTATGTCCCCACATCTGTCCAGTGCTGGGATCAGGGTCAGGGAGGGGATGGTGTGGGTTAGAACAGCGGACCCTCTTTTCTCTTCACACCTGCCCTGAACCATTCCTCTGGCTCTCAGCTTAGACTCCTCGGGCGGTGTGTGCCTGCTGGGTGCATGTGGTTTCTCTCCTCAGTTAGACTGGGAGCCTGATAAGGGCGGGAACAGGTCTGCCTCAGCTCTGGTTTCCCACATCCCTCCTCAGTGTTTGGCACATAGTAGGTGCTCAAAACAGGTGTGTTGATTGACAGAAAGTGGCAGAGTCAGGACTCCAATGCATGCATTGATCAAAACTCAGCTGAACAATGAGGGAGACCCTCTGAAAATCTCCAGAATTCTCTCTCTCTGCAGCTCTTTCATCTCTGGCACTCTGCCCTGTAAACTCTAGCCAACTAGCCTCTTCAGACTCACAGCTCCATCTCCTCAACCCAGGGGGCTTTCCAGGCTTCATCTGGTTCATCCTGCCTGCATGGTGGCCTGGAAACTCTCTCCAGGCAGTGTGGGCAATGGTAGGGTTTACATGTGTTCTCTGCCTCTTAAGACCCCAAACATTGCCTGATAACCAATGCCTTGAAAACCTTTATTTCCTACCTTTTGTCATTTTGTTGTTGCTATTTCAGGTAGGAGGGTAAATTTGGTCTTTATTACTCCATCTTTGATGGGAGTGTAAGTCTATTTTATAACTTTCATTGCAGTATAGTATACCATGTAGGAATGTTGACAGACATTTGGGTATTAATGTTTTAGCCACTAGAAACAATGACCATATGACTATTCTTGTGTATGTATGTATTTTGTGTATTTCATTGTATGAATACCTTTACTCCTGCTGTTGATGCATATCTTCTAGCTTCCGTCTAGGACCATTCCTTTTTATCTATGAACACTCTTTCAGTATTCCTTTTATAGCAGGTCTGCTGCTGCTGAATCACCCTGGTTTTTGTTAGTTTGAAAATGTCTTTGTTTTTCCTTTATTCTTGAAGGATGTTTTTGCAGCTATCGAATTCTAGGCTAGGGAAGGATTTTCTTGTAGCACTTTGAAGATAACATTCTATTCTCTTTTTGACTTTCATTGTTTCTGATGAGAAGTCAGCTATCAGTCTTATTATTGTGACTTCAAAAGTAATGCATCTCTTTCTCTGGCTGCTTTGAAGATTTTATCTTTGTGGTTTTCAGCAGTTTTATTGCTATATGCTTAGATATGGTTTTCTTTGTATTTAGCCTGCTTTAGAATCATAATGTGTCTTGAATCTGTGATGATTTTCCCTCTTCTCAATTCAATCTTCATCAAGTGTAGATAAGTCATTTCTCATAATTCAATGCATGCTAAGAACATCCTACAAAATTTTACTGAAATCCTGGGATAACAAGAAAGAAATGATGCAGAGGTGGGGAAAATATTTGTAATCAACCACTAGGTTCTCATCCTTGGGGTTCAAATTCACACCTCTCCTTAGGAGAGAAGGGTCACCAGTGGTGGTCTCTCTCTTTAGCTCCTGATCTATAACTGAGGATCTGTCCCTGACAAGACATCCCTACCTGGAATCAAGACTTTCCACTTTGTTGGGTGGCTGATAAGAGAGAAAAAGTACTTTCTCTCTGTCTCTCTAAATTTTACCTCTCAGTCAACACATTTTAATGCAGAACAGTTCAGTATTTAATTGTTTAGAACTTCTACATATCAGAATAGAAGTCTGGATTTACCATCGAAGGGAATTCCCTTCATGATAGTAAGTAGATCCCTGAGTGCTGAGTTCTAGCCCAACAGAATAAAGAAGGGCCAACGGGCAGACAGGTTCCCCTGCCCTGGCAGGTTTCTTACTCTTTCCTTTGACCATTAGGCTTCAAGTGCACCTGTATGTGGAGGCAGGAGGGCATCAGGGAGCAACCGTCACACTTCTAGCTCTATCTCTATCAGCTCATTTGCTGTTTCAGTGGTGAACCAAAGTGGAAGCACCCTTGTACCTGGTCTGAGTCACCATTCTCACCAATCTTTGCACCTGGGGGAACCCTCTGTGATCTGTCCCAGCTCACTGGTCTGTATATCTTTTCTGAATTTCAGATACAAACATCCAGTTGCCCAGTCCCTTCTGGATTGCTTTCCTGTGTTATAGAAGCTGGAAAACGAAAGTAACATTTCCCACATTCCACGTGGGTTTCACCTGTAACCTGGGTTCCACATAGAAGATGTTCCGTTCTCTTTTTTTTTTGGCCACTCTGTGTGGCTTGTGGGATCTTAGTTCCCTGAGCATGGATTGAACCTGGGCCCTCGGCAGTGAAAGCACAGGGTCCTAACCACTGGACCACCAGGTAATTCACAAGGTGTTCCTGATAAGACATGGAAGTGGAAGGAAATGATGGGCACTGATGTCTGCATGCAGATAGATAAGATCACCTGGAAAGCATCTGTGATGGGGGTGTCTGGGTGTTCTGGGGCATCCGTGGAGGAGTTTTTAACAGCCATCACCTCACATAGGTGCCAAGCAACAGGTGGCAGGGTGGTGATATTTCCACTAGAAAATTCCCCTGGTGTGGATGGGTGTTTTGGCTGACTGCTTTGGCCCTGACCTTTAACTGTGTAGCAGTGAGCCTGATTCTCTTCTCCTTCTGCTTAAACCTGTATGGATTGTGGTGTAGACAGCCAAGAACCTCAACTGACAGTTCTCTTGAAGCACTGATCTCATTAGTTGTGATTGTCCATCTTCCCCAATAAAATGTGAGCTCCCTGGGCTTCCCTGGTGGCGCAGTGGTTGAGAGTCTGCCTGCCGAGGCAGGGGACACGGGTTTCTGCCCCGGTCCGGGAAGATCCCCTGCCGCGGAGCGGCTGGGCCCGTGAGCCATGGCCGCTGAGCCTGCGCGTCCAGAGCCTGTGCTCCGCAACGAGAGAGGCCACAACAGTGAGAGGCCCGCGTACCGCAAAAACAAACAAACAAAAACAACAAACTGGCTTCCAGAACACCGGCAGGCTTCAGGATATTCACCAGGAGTAGGCCTATAAAAGTAGGACAGAGAAAAATAACTGAATTTATATTATATCAATCATCAAATGAATTTAAAACTATCACCAATGGAAAATTCCTCCCTAAAGAAATGTCACCCCAAACTACATCTTGTTTTCATCTCTTCATGTGACCTGTGACTCCTTATCCCTAGGTCCTCTTAACAACCAAACCCAGGCCCCCAATTCTGTGTTCTTTCTTATCTCTTAGCAGTTTTCTCATGACACTCTTCTAAGTTGCTGGATGGGTTTACCTGGACCCTCTTGGCGGCTGGCAGATGTACCACTAAGGGAAGAAGCTAGGCGGTAGAGTGCGGTGGTGAAGGATGTGGTGTCTGCCATCAGGAAGACCTGGATCAAGTCTCTGCTCTGCCAGTTCCCTGCTGTGAGACTGTGTGTGAGGCACTTACCTTCCCTGAGTCTCAATTTCCTCGTCTATAAAATGGGAAGAATGGTAAATCTTCTTGAGGCTGTTGAGAGGATTAAATGAGAAAAGGCAGGAGAGCCTTTGGCCACTGTCAAAGCTGCCAGCTGTGGAATTGCAGGGCTCTATCAGGGTGCATTTCTGGGAATGAGGAGCATTACTTCATTTTTGGCAAAAGCTGAGGGGTCAGGGGAGTGGTCCCAGGAAGAAAGCTTCAGTCTCAGATACAGAAAGGGCAGGTTCAAGAGTTTGAAAGAGGTAACTGTGGCATTCTGGGTTAGTGTATTGAATTGTGTCCCCCAAACGATATATTAAAGGCCCTGGACTTCCCTGGTGGTCCAGTGGTAAAGAATCTGCCTTCCAATGCAGGGGACACAGGTTCAATCCCTGATCGGGGAACTAAGATCCCATCAATCCCTGATCGGGGAACTAAGATCCCACATGCTGCAGAGCAACTAAGCCTGCGTGCTGCAAACTACAGAGACCACGCACTCTGGAGCCTGTATGCCACAACTAGAGAGAAGCCCGGCTGCCACAAAGAAAGATCCCACGTGCCTCAACAGAGATCCCGCGTGCCGCAACTAAGACCCAATGCAGCCAAAGAAAGAAAGAAAAATAAATAAATATTTTTTAAAAAGATATATTCAAGTCCCATCCCATCCCTCGGTACCTGTGAATATGACCTTATTTGGAGATAGGGTCTTTGCAGATGTCGTTAAGTTGAGGTCCTTATGAGAAGAAGGAAATTTGGACATAGAGACACACAGGAAAATGGCCACGTGAAAACAGAGGCAGAGATTGGAGTGATGCGGCCATAGCCAAGCAACGCCAAGGATTGCCAGCAACCACAGAAGCTAGGAGAGGGTCAAGGAAGATCCTCCCCTAGAGCCTTCAGAGAGAGCACGGTCCTGCCAACCCTGTGATTTCAGACTTCTATCCTCCAGAGCCCTGAGAGAATACATTTCTTTTGTTCGAAGCCTCCCAGTTTGCGGTATTTTGTTACAGCAGCCCAAGGAAACAACACAGTGGGTGAGGCAGGGGGCAGGGTACTTCAGCTCACAGGGCACAGATGGATTGGAGGGAGGAGGGGAAATAACTGATCATCATTTTCAAGCTTTGGTGTCTTGGGGCCAGCTGGCAGGACACCTAATCACTGAAGACCATCTGGGACATACACACAAAAGCCTAGCCGTCTTGCCTCAAAATGGGACAGCTCTGCAATACAATCCATGATTTATGCTCCAGAACCTCCTTCCCCACCAGGCTGAGGCTAGGGTCCCCTTAGACCACATCTGTCCTCAGTTCCTTCCCCTTTCCTGTCCTGCTTGCCTCACTCCCTTCCAGGTTGTTTCTGACAAACACTCCCATCCCCATCAACCACGTGGCCACCATCACTCAGAGTGGTCAGTACACACTTCCCCAGGCCCAGTCATGTGCTGTGCGGGGGGGTGGTGTTGGTGCAGAAATTTAAGGCAGGCCCCTGCCCCGAGGGAGCTCACAGTAACCTGGGTGAAACATTAATTTATTCATTATTCAACTAGTTAATTAATTAAACACACATTTGTTGAAAACATACTATGTGCCGTCCCTGGCTGGGCATTGGAAAGGCTGCAGAGAGATCAACGAAACAGGCCAACAAGCTTGTAGAGGGATAAACAATCAAACTGGGATAGGCTGGGGCCTGGGACCCTTTACTGCAGTGCTTGCACCTGGATAAACGTCTCTTCAAGCAACAGAATACAAAGAAAACATAAAGACTAGAAGTAACAACACACATGCGTAGTTGAGGCAATTAGAACCAACAGGCTACAAAAAGGCCACAAACCAACTGCCAGTTGGGAGGTGCCAGGAGCAAAAGCTCGGGGCTGCGCATGATCCCTGCACACAGCACCACCAAGGGGGTGGGCAGACCACCTAAGCCACCCCTCTGGCCTGACCCACTAATCTGCCGCTACCCTCACCCCATGTAAGGGACCAGCCCTCCCTCCTCGGGAGCGAGCAAGGGCACCTGTTACTTGCTTTCATTCCCTTGTGCCTCAGCACGAGTCCCAGTAAAGCCTTGCTTGAATTCCTCATCTGGCTTCTTATCAATTTCTATTGATTAAAGAGTCCAAGGACCCGAGTAGGTAACGTAACAAACTCACAAGCAAATGTAGAACTGTAACAATGCCAGCTGGGCCATTAAGGAAAAGCAGATGTTGCTACAAGAGCCTTTGACAAGGGGATTTGACCTGGTCATGGTGGTCAGCGGAGTCTTAACAAAAGGAGGGAGGCCGGGCTAAGACATCAGGTGGTAAGAGTTAACTAGGAAAAGAGGGGAGGGAACAGCTTGTGTGGAGAGGCCCCATGGCTGGAGGAAGCACAAGAAGAAGAAGGGACTTCAGCAAGGTCAGTGGAGGGTGTGGCTGGGAGAGTATGAGAGGGGGAGGGGATTGTGTGTAAGAAGAGGCGCAGGAGGCAGGCAGAGGCCAGGCTGTGTTAGAGAGTTTGGGCTTTATCCCCAAAGGAATTAACATGAAGGGTTTTCAGTAGGCACGCTACCTGGTCAGAAATGGAGACACCCACTCTGGCTGCAGCACAGGTAAGAGCCCTTAGGATGGCTTCAGTGCTGTGGACAGAACAGTGAGGGAGCTCTTGCAGTGGTTCAGGTGAGAATGTGATAGTAACACGGGTCACGGTCACGGAAGATGGAAAGAAATGCACAGATTTGAGAGACAGCCTTGGTGATGGGTTGGATATGATGTGTGGGAGGGAGAGAGATGGGTTGATGGTTACCCTACTTTTCTGGCTGTGCAAAGAGGTAGATGGTGGTGCCATTTGCTGGGAGAAGGATCCCTGAAAGAGGATCAGATTTGAAGGAGAAAATCCTAAATTCAGGCAAAAGTCCTTTGTTAAACCCGATGGTTGAGGGATGTCAGCTGTTACCATCTACTCATTCAAAAGTTATTTAATGAGCAATTGCTGGGCTTCCCTGGTGGCGCAGTGGTTCAGAATCCGCCTGCCAATGCAGGAGACACGGGTTTGAGCCCTGGTCCGGGAAGATCCTACATGCTGTGGAGCAAAAAAGCCCATGCGCCACAACTACTGAGCCTGCGCTCTACAGCGCATGAGCCACAGCTACTGAAGCCCGCGTGCTACAACTACTGAAGCCCACGCGCCTAGAGCCTGTGCTCTGCATCAAGAGAAGCCACCGCAATGCGAAGCCTGTGCACTGCAACGTAGAGTAGCCCCTGCTCGCTGCAACTAGAGAAAGCCTGCACACAGCAACAAAGACCCAACTTAACCAAAAATCAATCAATCAATCAAAAAAAAATGTGCTTGCTATATGCTGGGCCCTGTGCCAGGTGCTGGAGATTAAAGGGAAGGGAATTAACATTTGGTGCACAATTCTGCGAGGAGGTGGGGTAGAGAGATTAAGATGGTCATTATGGTATTAGACAGACTTGGCTTTGAGGCCTGGCTCTACAGCTTTCTAGTTGTATGACCTTAGGCAAGTCACTTAAACTCTTTGTGTCTCAGGAACCTCTGTAAAATGGGATTTATCAATACATCTGTATCTCCTAGAATGTTGTATGGGTATGGTGACAACACATGTAATGCCTTTAGCACAGTGCTTGGCACACAGTAAGTGCTTAATAAAAATATGCTATTATTGGTTCTCTATGTAAGGCACTGTCATGTGTCATTCTGTTCAATATCTAATCCTTACTACAGCATCATGAGGAGAGAATTATTGCTGTATCTCATTTCAGAGAAAAGGCAGCCCTGCTGATTGTCTCCCCAACAGCCTTTCCCCTCTTCCTCACTGTAAGGAAGTAGGTTTTATTTGAGTGTTCATCATTCTACATTCAGGAAAGCTGGCTCCCTCTCTTGTCTCAGGGTGTAAATCCCGATTAGTCTAAACCAATCATGGTAAGTCCACTCCCCTATCCAATGACTGATTTAGGCAGTCATAGGGTCCATTCCTACCCAGTTATGAACTCATTCACGTTGCCCAGGAATGTCCTGGTCTTAGCACTAGTAATGCTGATTCCCAGGAAACACGTCAGTCCTGGGCAGACTGGGTTGGTTGGTCACCCTGCTTAGCCACTGAGACCTGAGCAGGAGACTTCTACAGGTATCTGTGTGTGTGTGTGTGTGTGTGTGTGTGTGTGTGTGTGAGAGAGAGAGAGAGAGAGAGTGGGAGGGGGGGAGGGAGGGAGGGAGGGAGAGAGATGGGGCATCTGGAAAACTTTCTCTTTGCTAAGAATAAATGGTAAAGGCATATGTGGGAGGACACGCCCTCTTTGCTGGATGTCTTTGTTTCTATATGCTATGCTTGGAGTTGCTGTAGCCATC